AAAACTTTTGTGGCAATATTTAAATAAATCACCAGCCTCTCAAGAAAACATCTGATACAAAAATATTTGAAATGTGCCACGAAAGCATGCCTATATCCTAGCATAAAATGCTTTACTGATTTAAATGAAGAAGAGCAAATATAACCAAAACTTCCAAGAATCCAAAGACCCTGAAAGATGATAACAGTACAGGAACAAAACAGAAAGGAGGAGGGGGAGGAATTAGATCTGAAGGAACAGCTAATTTATTAATTCTTCACTACTAATTCAGGATTTAAGTATCAAAAAGTAAATCACTCACAGGGGTCAATGACACTGATTATCAGAAAGATACAACAATTTATGAGAAATTGTTGGCTTATACTTTACCTTAGCTGGTATTTTTATAAAGAATTTTTTGTTTTTTATTCCAATAGAAATAAAAAAGTTATTGAGAGAACATTTACTCCCTCCCACATATTTGCATTTCAAATCTTGCAGCATTGTGCTAGGGCATGATGAGAAATCATTCCAGCTGAGCAGAACAATTGCTTTAATCATAGCTATTGTAGCCTCTCTCAAAGTTAAATATAGTTATTAAAATTTAAAGAAAGCAACAACCCAAACCCCTCAGGTATTCTAAGGTGCACAAGGACAATAGCTTGATGCTTGATTACACACAGGGAGGTTGTTTGGACTGATGTCAGCACCTGCATGAAACATTTGTGCTTTACACCCAAGCTAGACAGCTGTGGCGGTGGCTGGCTGGAACAAAATGTTCTTTCAGCACAAGTAATATTTCATCTCTCATTGTCAAAGCAACAGGATCCTGCTGGTCCATACAATTCATTAGTAAGTCTAAATAACTAGATAGTGTCACTGGTGTAAAGGCCTCCCATCTCCTAGCCATTTGCTACAACCCTTACTTCTTTCCTGCAGTGGCAGTCTGGTTATGGGATACAGCCATCCATTACACTCAAGCAAGGTTACTTGAATTTGTTCACAGAATTTGGGGGAAAAAAAGAATGATGGAATTTTGCACTGCACAAGATTCAGGTTTGTGACTCACTGATGGTCCAAGATCAAAACAAGAACCAGCACTCTGTGGAATACTGCCAGCTAAACCCCTTTGTTCTGATATTGTAGTAATCATCTGTTAAAACACAACTACCAAGCTACATCTTAATTGGCAACTCCTCCATGTCAGTGTATTTTATGACCAAAAGTCGGTGAGTCATAGAGAACTGGAGAGAAAGTGCTCACATTTGAGAGGAGGGAGTTTTACAGTCCAGCAAAACTCCAGATGAAGGTGCTGAGAACATCATCAGTGGAAGAACAGCTGTGTAAACACAAAGGAAAATATTGCTGGAATAAGTTCATCAGCTTCTAAACAGTTACTTGATATTTGTATCAGTGTAATGGAGAAGAAGCTGGCCACTGTGCAAAAAAAGTACTTTGTCTCCGGTGACATCGAGTGCAGCTTTGAACCCAAAAAGAAGTCAATTGCCTAGAACACTGAATGGCCTGAAAACAGCCACAGCAGTAGTCCTTACAAGTCCAACACTGACTGCTGTCTCCTCTTTTCTGCTGCAATTCAAGGAAGGATCAGAGAATATAGGGTAATAAGTGATGTATTCAGCCAGCAGTAAAAAGGACATCATGCATAGTTCTTAAGATCCCCAGGTACCAGTGGAAGACCACTTTATTTGCAGGACAAAGGTACTCCATTTTGTTCATATTCATAACTAGCCTCATAATTCAACTCCTCAAAGCAGTTGGACATGCTTCTAACTCAGTCTGAAAATGTGCAGAAAAGAGTATTATTGAATGAGTATTCTTGTATGCCAACACTGAAATCATTAACAGAAAATGTGTATCTGATTGGGGCAGATTTCCTTTCAAGGCAGGGGTAGTGTGTCCCTGAGGCAAGTCATGGTGACATGACATGCCTTTGTTTTCCTAGCACAAAGGACCGAAGAAGGCTATGTAAGCATTAGCCAAATAAAGGCAGCTGATTCCTATCTATTTACCTATTAAAGTTGTTCGAGTTGTATTTTTTTGTTGTTGTTGTTCTGACTGTTAGTTTATTGCAACTGAAGAAATGATACCGTCACTTTTCTTCATCGTTTAACCAAAGCATGTAAGCAGGAGAAAAAGAGGTACACTGTAAACCAGAGCAAACCTTGAACTCTCTTGACACATTTAACCTTGATCTGACTGGAGCTGAGAAAAGATGAGGAAAAGTCATGGAAGTAGACAGGGACACCCAAACTGTACAGAAGCCACAGAATCATGACTTCAACACCAGAGGCTGGAATAACAATCCTGCTAAGGAGTTGCTTCAGGCAGGGTTAAGAAGGGGAGGCAGGGTGGGCAGGCTGAAATCCTCCTCCACCTGCCTCCTTCTCCCCACACTAATTCTACACTGGAGTCTTCCTCTAATATTCTTATCACTGTGTCTTCAACCAATTCTGACCCTTCTCCATTGTCCATGAAGAAGTAGTATCTCAAGCTGCAAGTCCAATCCAACCCAGTATTTACATACCAAGCAGATTTAACCCTACACTTAAAAGTGGGGGGAGGGGGTGAGCATCACAGCCTGGAAAGGATTCTTTATATTGTAATTTGGGGGTAGAGGGTCAAATTTATAATCTTTGGATTAATAAGCTTTCAATTACAATACTAGCACTTAAACCATTAAACAAAATTTAAAGCACTGGAGCATTGTTAATGAACATTTGCATTCCCTCAACAATGTCAAAGATCCAGCAGCTTCAGATGTCACAGTACAGAACACAACACAAAGCTGTACTTTTACTTGCTTAGTAATTTTACTTTTATCATGATCCCATAAATATTTCATCAGGTTTATTGGTAAGATAAAGGCATGTGATCTACACCTCATATATTGTCCTTTGTACTCCCAAGGAAGTGAGAGAGGTACAGTTATTAACTTTATCATTATCTTCTCTTCCACCTCCAGCTGTTGCTTTAACACAGGCTGCAAGCATATTAAAGAAGCAGTTACGTTGACTTTGAAACAGCTAGAGTTTATACACCTCTCACCATGGTACAGCACACTGCTTCATTCTCCTTCTGCGACCTTCAACAGGAACAGAATTAATCAACATGGTGTACTTAAAAAACAATTCAAGCTCTTTACATGTCTCTTCTCACAGAATTAGAAGCATCAAGATCAGATCAAAGGAAGAAAGTATCAGCTTTAACACTACTGTTTTTTCTCATTTTGTTAATATTTTTACACCAATATTTACACTAATATTTTGTTATCCTCAAAGTAAGAGTAATTTTACCTTCCTAGTTAGAGAAGTTTCACATAAAGTGTGAGACAATGGATGGTTGAAAAGATTAAAGTTAAATCTCTCTGCTGTTGTTGTAGATCTGCAGTTCCACCCAGACATATCTACAGTATACGGAGAACCTGAATGGAGCCTTGCAATTCTGAGAACTTGCCTATTTTTTCTGAGTTGGTCTATTTAAAAATCATGTCTTGCAGAGCAGTGTATTTTAGGAGTAGTGTCTGATGCCATGTTCTCTAGAAACAGCAAAACACAGACTCTTCAGAGAAATTGTTGAGGTATGACATGTACAGGTGTGAATAGCTTCAATCAGTTGACCCATATCCCTCCAGGCGCCTCCAAATTAAAAAAAAAAAAAAAAGGCATTTTCTTTCTCAATAAATGTGGGCAACTCCCCACATTTTTCTATTTCTGAATCTCTTAAAATTGTCAGAGGTAAAAGCAGAAATGAAAGTGTGACCTCTGAATGTTTCACAGAGGAATCTTTTTAGCTCTGACAGATGTGAAAGACACAACATTGCTACCTCAGGAAAGAGAACCGATTCCCCCTAGAGAAGTCTATATCTAATAATCACAACAAAAGTTTTGTTTTGTGCCTTAAACTAGTTTCAGATTATATAACCTTTTTGGGTAGCAACATGATAATTTTTTTTCAGTAATTTCTTTTAAATTCTTACAGACAGCTTTTGATGACTAAGAAATCACACTCAATTTTAACATATTAACAGGATTTTCACTAACACATGAATGGACTGAACATCAATCAATGACTTGCAAGATCAATCCTGTCTCTTGCAATGGCTTCCCCGAGCCAGAGTTTTTTTCTTGTTTAAAATATACTGGGGAAATGACAGAAGCAACTTTTGATATATGCACCCTATAACAATTAGAGTGTTTGCAGCAAGAGAAATTTGAAAATTTAAAATTTAACTAACTGTATGAAATTCTGGGGGGTAGTTCTAGAAAACAGCGTCCCATGCTTTGCCACTAGAGACAGTAGATTTAGTTCAATCTACTAAAGAGATTAAAAGTTCATTCATATATGTCTATATTTTTTGCAATGAATTTAGGCTTATTCCCGTTCCTTTGCAACAAAACCTTCTGTTGCTTATTCCTCCTACAAATCACAGCCAAATCCCAGGAAAATCTAGAGATATTTTACAAAAGGACATTTGTTAGCATGCTCCTTCTAGTACAAAGTGTTCAGAGAAGACTGGGAGCACTAGGAATGCAGATGGTTTAATAGCCCTTTTGCATACAGTAAGATACCCACAGCATTTTCATATTTGAGAAGGCTGACTGACCCATACTAAATCCTAGTTAAATAACAGAAGGCAACCTCTGGCTCTTTACATTCACCTGCCTTGCCAGGGGCAGGAATTAGAGAGCTCAGAGATTTCACTCTATGCTATACATGGGAGGCAGGAGTTGAGTACTAATGAGAAATACACTTTTTATTTCATGAGTTCCCTGAAAAGAACTAACCCTAGAAGGGGAGAGAAGCAACTTCACAGCCCACTTATACATGAGAGGCAGGAATTGAGTACTAATGAGAAATACACTTTATTTCATGAGTTCCCTGAAAAGCACTAACCCTAGAAGGGGAGAGAAGCAACTTCACAGCCCACTCTCAGATTTCACTAAGCACTGCTGACTCCACCCCTCTTAGCCATATATCTCCTGTATCACCACGTCCAGCCAGGGACCTTGGTGTGCAAAATAGCTGAAAGCTACCCTCAGGATGAGAGCAAGGCAGCTGGTCTGTGGAATTTGGAGTCTGTGTTTCCTGTTCTGTCTTTTCTGCATTTTTCTTCACCAAACAACAGCTAAAAGAAAACTGAAGTTTGTGTCCCTAGTAAGTATGGGTAAATGAAATTTCTTCAAAACCTGTCACTTACTACTCTTTTTGTACTCTAGGGTAGGGAGGAGGGGGCACATTTTCAAATATTTAAATGTTTCCTCCATATCCAAAATTAAAAAAATACTGTATTGTTCAAAAAAATATTAATTTTAAATAAGATTTTATAATTTTGTCTCCTTTGTGCACTCCCACATGCACTCCCTATCTGGAGGTATATAGAATGCTTATTTTATAGAACTAAGAGAAAAATAACACAGGATTTGGTTTTAAAATGTAAGAGAGGATTTCATAACTAAATACCAACAGTGTAAAAACCCTCTTTACCATGGAAGAGTTTCCACTTTTCCAGTGGTTTCAATGGACTAACATACAAAGTAAATTTCAATATATGAAAATCAAACAAGTGTACAATGATGTTGAACAAGCAACACACAAACCAGCACTGTGAATCTAATGCTATTTGCAATGGTTATGATGTACCATTTGTTTGCAGGAAGGCTGAATCTTATTCTGAACATGACCCACACATATAAATAATTTATATAATTTTTTTCCCCGCAGTTTTTGATTTAATGTTTCCCTGTTTGGATTAAGAAATTTTTAAAAAAATCTTAAAATTTTAGAATCACATTGCTCATATCTACAGAAATTATGCTGCAAAGCATATGAAGCAAAGAATTCATTATATGAATGAAAAAAATCCAATATGTCTGTATAAATACATCTTTTATCTGAAGTGAAATTCTAAAACAGGTTCAGTGTTTTCAGAGCAACAGTTTAGCCTGTTTTTACATATTAGATAACACTTCTATCACCTCTTGTGATGAAAAAGCCAACATATGACTTTTTAAGGCTAATTTCTGCCAAGTAAGAGAACTTCACAGGAGTCATCCACAGAAATGTTACTTTGAGTAATAGTTTTGGTTTTTTCCTTTTGAATTCCAACTTAGTCATACCAAAATACTAATGTTCAAATATCTCTGAAAAATTACTTACATGCTTCTGTTTGTTTTCTTTTTATTTAATATTATGGTCTATACCTTCTAAAATACATAAAACCTCTTTAAAATATAATAGAGTATCCTATAATTTTTATAACTTGCAAAAATTTATTTGGACTAATTTATTCTAAAATGCAAAAAAAAAAAAAAAACCAAAAAAACAGTTATATTTGTCTAAATAAATTAAACAGGAAATGTAGCTATCTAAATTTAAGGCAAGCACCATTAATATACTTAGCATCTATCAGATACAGTACTCCCTGTCATAGCATATTCCTTGTGACTACACCGATTAGTAATAATCACCAGAAAAAATACCAGTAACACAAAAGCAATTTCATCTATTTCATCAGGTATTTCGCCATGGGGATCATACCCCACAGGAGTTTTTCCCAACTAATAAGCACAAAGAAATTGCAAGACAACAGGGATATGGCCAACTTACCAAGGTGAGTTTGTTTACCTGGGCAAAGAACTGAAATATTGAAAGATGTTTTGTTGATATTTGGGGGTTGGAATTTTGCTTTCACTTGGAGAAAGCCCTTATTAAGTTGCTGCTTAAGGACAGCCAAGGAACTTTTGAGGAAACTACAGCAACATCACTCACTAATTTTGAGTGAAACTGAGCCAGCCTGTTCTGGTCCAGTGTCAGCTTATGTTGAGCTTTTTGTTTGCAGACTAGGGTCTTCTGGGAGGAGCCAGGCACTGGTGACCATTTCAGTTCACCTGAGACCACACAGGAAGATTTAATCATCAGTAGCAGAAGGAGATGGAAGTGCTGACAGACACAACCCTCCCTCAATCTCTGCTGAATAGGAGCGCTTCCTTACTCATAAACTATTAAGTTCAGTACAAGCAGAAACTCTTTTTATGCTGTGCCAAGAAAGTTGATTTAAAACTCAACTATTATAGTGCAGGCATTTGTGGAATCAGCTGTTGGTAGTAACCAGAAGCAGCATAGTTACTGTATCTGACAGATGCTGTGCCTGCCTTGACTGTAATTTCTATTAGCTGCCACCTCTTACAAATGGAGCCACAGGTAAGCTGTACTATCAGACTGTAAGGCAATATTTGGACACTGGGTTTTTCCCCTCCCTCTGGCAGGACCCACTATGCCTGTGTACTTGTGCTTCATTCCTTTTTGCCCAAGATATGTTATTTGGATGGCAAAAGCTGCCAGTTATTTGCCCAGCACTCAGAACCACACAGTCTCTCTGAAGTAGTTCGAGAAATGTGGTTGCCCCAGATAAATGGCTACAAGAACATATGGAGGCAGACTGTGAGGTGTGTTTCTCTGTTAGGCACACGAACCTTATCTGCAGTGTCTCTCTCACCTAAAAGAACTTGCCATGTCTCCACCAAAATCAGAACAGAACAAACTGCCTGAGGGGTTCCTCTTCCCCGCTGTTCTCAGGAGGCAAAACTGTTCTCCAAAGCAAAATCAGGCCTATTTCTGCTCAAGTCAACCCCCTTGAAGAAACAGGAGTAACAGAGCAGCTTCCCAACTCAGCTGTGACTCAATCATTCCGTATAAATGCTATGCAAGTTCAGCAATCCATGGCAGCTTGCTCCAAGGCATAGAAGACTTCAAGACCCAGGAGTCAGGGCTTAACAACATGCATATTAGGCAAGTTGGGGCAGAAGCCTAAACCACATATACACCCTAGGAGACTGGGTGCACCATTCCAGCAAGAGAAAGAGGTGATCATGTGCACACACAGTGGGTCCTGAGTAACTCCTAGCTGACTTGGCTTTGAGCAGGAGGTTGGACTAGAGACTTCCTGAGGCACCTTTCAGCCTGAATTATCTTCTGGTCCCACAGCTTAGAAAATTTCTTTAGGAAGCAATGAGTAAGCACTGTACTTCAGACACCAGTGCACAGTAATGATTACATGAGCTAAGTGGAAAATGTTTAAATTTAGGCCAGGAAACACCATGTACAAGTAAAAAGATGGCAATATAGAGACTATTACAGGGACATTGTGTGTGATTGTGATGGAGTCAACACCCCAGGGGTGTTTAAGGAAAGAGTGGATGGTACCTAATTCCATAGTCTAGTTGACATGGTAGCATTAGGTAATAGGTTGGACTCAGTGGTGTCAGAGGTCGTTTGCAACCTAACTGATTTCGTGATTCATATGTCATGTGTTCACAAAATTATGTAGGTAAGTTGAAAGATGTTCAGCTAAGAGCTACTAAAATGTAGGGACTGGAAAAATTTTGCTTTGAGGGTAGAGAATTGTCATCAGTTTCATTTAACACAGAGATAAAGTGACTTGATTCCATTTTATGGATTATTGTTTAGCTGTGAATAAGATCTGTGATGGTGAATGTCATTCAAAAGTGCAACAAGATTCAGTGACTGAAAGTTGGGAACATAGGCAAGAATCAAAAATCAAATGTTTCAGACTGTTGATAAAAATTAACTATTGCAGCAAAATGCCCAGAGGCTTGGAGGACTTTTACTTCAAGACTTCTATTCTGAAAAACTAAATCTTTCCCCAGGCTAAAACTGCAGCCCCCCATAAGGAATCACTGGTGATACTCTATGGGATTCATACCCTGGATGTGTCTTCATGGACAGGTGGCTGCTCTGTCTGCACTCCCAGTTAATCAGCTCTGAGACAGCAACAGAGTAGAAAGTAGACAGATGGTGTTGGAACATCTCTGTGCCTGCTTTAAGTCTCACTAGCTCAGATAAACATACACATAGTTTTCCATAGAGCAAAATACAAAACTGCATCTACCAGGAGTCATATCTAATGTTATCCAATACCATACATGCAGCAACTTCACTACTTTTTTCTCATGTCTTCTTTCCTAATTCAATTTGAAAAAGAAAAAAGGTTTTTATTAAAATAATATCAAATATTATTTCATTCTTTTTTGGTTGTAGGAATGGATGAATAGCACATTTCTTTAGCCTCTTATGCTCTTGTGTTACTTCTACAGCTTGGCATACAACAACAGTATGAGCTTGGCCAGTACATGCGGAGGAGATACTCTCATTTCCTGAGCGTTGTATACAAGCAATTTGAGGCAAGTACTGGATCTGGGCAGGAAGATGTTTTTCATGGTTGTTAATGGGACTTCCTGGATGCATAAGAGTCTAAACCTGGTACGGTTGGAGAAAATGTAACACCAATTGAAGTCAATGTCATTCCAAAGTATCCCTGAAACTGTAGTTCAGCTTTTATCCTGATGGATAACTGGTAACTGAAAATCACATGAAACGGCAGCACATCAGGTTCAGCTCCCACCCTGCTGTATGGGAGAGCATCTGTGTCAAACACCTCCAATGCTACACTTCTACATGGAATGCAGATACAACTCAGTTTTCATTTAGGTTCCAGCTTTTTAGTGCACATGCCATGTCCCAAAGCCTAGAGGGTCAAATAGAGTCAATCTCATGCTGTCCACTAGGATTTCTAAGATGTTAGCCTGCTGCAGCTCAGTTGTCCAGTGAAATTTTATTCCCGCTGCAGTCTTTCTCCTTGCTTCTTCTTTCTCGCAGTCCTTCTTTATGCCACTCCATTTTAATGATAACATCCCCAGTATCAGCCCCTTTTTTTCCTACCAAGAAGACAAAGTAAACCTAATGAAAGAAATTACCATCAAAAGTGTTTATTTTTCTTTTTTTCCTCCTTCAGATTTATGTTCAAAGCACTGACAGTGATCACACACTTATGAGTGCTCAGGCAAGTCTTGCCGGACTGTACCCACCAACACAGGATCAGATTTGGAACCCCAGAATCCTTTGGCAGCCCATTCCAGTTCACACAATGCCACTGTCACAGGATAATGTGAGTATAAACTAGGGGCATCTGCTCTCCCTTGATCATTAGTAAAGTACACAGGATATGTGATAAAGGTGCAGTAAAAAGTGCATGGTAAAGGCAATGAAAATGCTTGTAACATTGTTACAAGCATTTTGCAGAAAGGCTTAATAAGCTGAGTAGAAGTGTTGGCAAGTATTTCCACAGGAATGGACTTGCATATCAGAGACATGATCTTAACAAAAGAGGAAGAAAAATGGGAGTACTGGGTGTAGAGAAAAAGAGTTTATTTATAAGGCGAGTAAATCACTGTAGAAGTAGATTAATCCTAAATTTAATGCAAACATGGCTTTCTTTGTTTGAGAAGAGAAAACATACTTAAACTCACTAGTGCTTCAGTATTGCTTAGTCCACAGCCAATGTAAGCATCATTGTGGGACTTACATTATGGTGAGAATTGGGTTACGGGGTTGTTTTTCGTGCACTTTGCAGGTCAATGCATGTGCTCCAAGGATTGGTGAGAAAAGTAAAAGGGGAAAGGAAGGAAGACTCAGAGCTTTAAGCACAAGTTCATAGGGCAACATATTTATTCACCTCCCTTCCTCAGCTCCTCACTTTGGAGTTGTAAGCAATCCTGTGGATAGCAGCTCTGTAGCTTGCATATACTTGTCTAGAGGGGAAAGCTGTGCAGCAGACTGGAGATAGAATCTCCTCTGTGTAGAAAATCTATGATAAAAAGTTAAGATCAAGAGTGTGCAGCATGAGTCCCAGTTTGTGAGAGCAGATTTGCACATGTGATGCAAGATAAATTGTGTGGGCTTTACAAGTCTAATTAACACAGTCTATGATGATAAGGGAATCACGTCAGATAGGTCATGGAGCAACAGTTCTTACCCCAGGGTAATGAGAGCATTAAGATGGAAGGTATGGAGACATGTCTTCCTCTTCACACACACAGCCAGGCACAGTCAGGAGCTGCTTCTGACACTGTCACAGGTGGGGATATCCCAGCAGAGAGACGAGAATACCTGGCCAGTACCAACACAGATGGCACACTCAGCAAGCAGGTGCTGCAATTCACATCTAGGGGGGCAAGTAAGTTTATTCAAACAAATCATAAAGTCATGAACACATGCACAATTTTCATACTTTCTTCAACTATTTGTGTTTTAGCTTTATTTATCTTTACTACATATACAGGCTAAGCCTGAGACCACATGTATCCTACAACACAAAACAAGTGTCCATCATTTATTGGTGAAGTCATGCCTGTTCATGAACCTATGGCTATAATTCACAAATACCTTCCTATCTTGTGGAATGCATAGTTTGTATTTCTAAAAAGATTGAGGAACTGCTGTGAAACATTCCAAACTAATTATCCTTTCAAATCTCTCAAGTCCTTTTCAAAGTTCTTTTAATATTGGAACTATATAGATGGAGCTACATAACTGAGAAAAGGACAAAAAAACTCATTAGGGAAAAGCACTGATTATATAAGTATCAAGTTTTAATTTTTGTTTAAAATTTAACACAGAAAATATGAATAAAATAAATTTAGCTAACATATATAAATACATATAAATGAAATAACAAGTTCTTAAGTTATTCCAATCATGTGTAACATTCATATAGCTTAGGCTGATGAAAGACATAACTGAGTTACAGAAAGGTCATAAATTTCTACAATTTAACTGAACTAAATGAAGTTGTGTTAAACAGACTCAATACAGCTGAGTATGCACAAAGACACCTACTGTAGTCCAGCTGCTGCTTTGTAATTTGTTGTAAAAATGTGATGGTGTTTGTGTTTAAAGACTGAACACAGTGAATGAAATCATCCCTGGAGAAGCTAAGAACAAAGGGGTTCATGAGGGCTTGTCTTAGTCTTCTGTCAAAGGACAAATTTCATCTTGTGTAAATGAATCTTTTAACTTTGAACTACTGCAGCTATTACTCCTCTGAACATTTAAAGATTCTTTTTTATGTAGTCATCAGTATGACTCCTAGAGTCCTGAAGATGAATATCCTTGAAACTATGTTCCCAAATTATTTTTCAGCTTGTCCTAACTAGTGCAGCAAATCAGAACAGCAATCCTGCAAGGGTATGTTGAATTGCAGAACAAGATGCACCTTGCCTAACTAGGATTTTGTAATTTTCTTTCCAGTTGCTATACCTACCTTTCTCACACTGCCCAAAGTACAAGGAACTTCTGAGAGAGACCTTTGCAACAAGGGATTTCCAAAGGCAATTCAAGCACTACAAGGTAAAGTATTCTCAGTTCTGGAAATCCAGTTAAAGTCTACCACTTCTTCAACATTATCTAACACGTGGGTTTAAAAAATAGCAGTTAATATGCTCCCTTCAGATCTCAAATCTTCAGAGTGAGTGTAGGCAACATACGCAAAAAACAATTACAACATTACAGATCCAGCTGGACTGGGCTATTCCCGACAATTGAAAATGGCAAGCCACAGAAAAGATAAATTGTTGACCTACTTGCAAAAACTTAGTTTCAAGGGGACTAGACAAAACAAAAACTCAGATAAAATCAGTGTCAATGCCTCTCAAATTATTCCAATTCCTCTCTCTGTTTACTCCCTTGTAAAGCAACTCCTCTGACATCCCTGCCTATATAAGTCTGTGAGTTCACATTCATTTTCTCAGCTCAGTTACCCAGAATTTCTATAACAGTCTCAGTGTTTTCCTCAAGTACCTAATCATGTTTTCCACTCAAAATCTTAATCTAGGTGTTCTCTTATGTTTTTTGCCTGTCTTCATATGGCATCCTTTCCTTTCTTTCTCCATCATCAAAACCTTTGCATGACTATATAACCACATGTTTATTCTGCTGCAACCTTCTACTTCATACGTGTATTCAACAGGACACTATGAACCTCACCTGTTTTTCTATTATCTTTCACCACTGACTTCAATCATCCATTTGTGGCTCTGCATCTGGGTATTATATGCAAGTAAATCACAATTCCCATTTAACATCAGCAAATTTACATCATACCTCTCCTTCTCCTGAGTACCAGTATCGGAATAATTCTGTTTACCACACTTCCTTTAAGCACTTCTTGCATTTCTGCCAGACTTCTTCATATATCTATGCTCCCTCTACTTCTTTCTAAACATTTCCACTAAGAATAAATGGTCACCATACTTCAAATCTAAACTAAAATAACCAACCTTGTCTAAATTAATAGGCCAAATTCTCTTACATCTAGGCATTGGTTCATTGCTTTAGTGCAAAGTGCACTTAAGCAATGAACCTTCTTTCTAAAAATTCCTATGTACTACTATGGCAGGCAGTGTGTAGAAATCCTGTAAAAATGCCCTCAGTAATACAAGTTTGGAATTTTTTTGTATTCCAGCAATTTCTGAAGTTTTTAGCCACTCATACAGGATATCCATTGAAGAAGTTGACTAGTGAAAGGATTTGGAAGCTCTCTGACACTTTACATTATGAGGTAAATCGAATCATAGAATCATTTGGGTTGGAAAAGCCCCTTAAGACCTTTGAGTCCAATAGAAACTCCTACACTTCCTTCAACCTGGTATTTTTATTTGGTTTATTTTTTTATTGTAAGTCATAAAAATTTCATAGATCTATGCTTCAAAATTTTTTTTAAACATTGACTACTTGCAACTTCTTTCCCAGAAACCCTCACTTAACATCAAACTTACAACTGAAAATCCTGTAAACACTCTAGGTGTGAGGCTGCTGTATGTCATCCACCACTGTAAGGAACACAAACTGGTGGACTTTCATATTCAAAATCCAGCCAGTACTGCATATGGAGAATTAGGCAAAAGCATACCTTAGCATAAAATTGTCTTGTAACTCCCCCAGACCCCACTAGGAGATACACAGGGATAAAAATATGTTGCTGGCAAAGAAACATAAGCATCCTTCCACAAAGATTTTATGCAAATTAAATAAGCAAGAGAAGACATTATTTGTACATGGCCAGTAGTGGACTGAGTATTTTCAGGAATTAAGCAGCCATTGTAATGACACAAATTGCTATTTGTGCAAGTTTGGGAGCTTGTTCTAAGCAAAGATATCACAAAAGAGCATGGATTGTATAAAAAGGGCATACTATGCTGCCAAACTGGCATGGGTATCTGGGTTCCGCAGTCTGGAAATGTCATGATTTGAAAAAAATCCTGACTGCCCTTAGCAAAAAATCCCTCTTCAAAGTCGAGACTTACCTCAGCTGACACAAAATTGCAGTCTTGTTTTAAAGGCATCCTATGCTGCCAAACTGACATGGGTATCTGGGTTCCGCAGTCCGGAAATGTTATGATTTGAAAAAAATCCTGACTGCCCTTAACTTAGCAAAAAAACCCTCTTCAAAGTCGAGACTTACCTCAGCTGACACAAAATTGCAGTCTTGTTTTAAGAAGTTGTTTTTGAAGGCCGCTTTTGCTACACTTTCATGCATAACTATTTATAAACATATATTAATGCTAAATTGGTCATCAGTACTGGCATATTAGTGAGGGAGTCTTAAGGTGGATTTCAGAAGCAACATGAAATATTTTACAGGGTGTGAATCGAATGAGTTTACCTTCATTCCTGCAGTTTTTGCAAAATCCAACTTTGATCAAAGCAGACTTGAATAGAATGTTGGCCAGGGCCTTAAGTGAAATGAAATGTTAACATGTTGGGACATCTCACTGTAATTTCAGTGAGGTCACCCTTCCATGTTTTCCAAATGCAGGACCACAACTTTCTATTTCAATAGTTAAATCATACCGAGAATCTGTGTCACCAGACAAATTTGAAAAATCCACAGCTCCCATCAAGAGTCTAGCTAAACACTGGAATTAAAAAAAAATAAAATGAAAAAATTGTGCTTCTCCTTCTAGTGTTACATTTGATGAGCCTTGGTCTTTGATACTACTGACTGAGGACTCCAAGGGTATCAATTAAGATATCTGCCATAAAAGCCTCTCTCATTTTTCAAGCATACAGAAGAGAGAGTGCTTACACAGATTTTAGTACAATTCATGAAACCACAGTAGCACACATCTGTTACTTTCAGCTAAGTATTATCTGACTTTCAGGTAACTTGGAGACAGAGGTGTTTGCTTGCCTACAGACTGTCTTAAATAGCATGCAGCCATCCAATTCTTTCCTCAAGACATAAATCACATTTATTAAAAAAGAAATGGATAACATTGTGATCCAAGCTGGTCTAACCAATAGCACATTCTATTGTTTTGTTGTTTAAACAAACCCTTAAAGTAGTTGACATTTTCCTTTGAGCTTGCTTGTTACAAGAACACTCCTTTTGGTGAGCTCAGTCCAAAGGTTACATTGCTCTAAGGGAAAATTACCAACCTTGTTTAAACAGGAATTCAGGGTACTGCAAACCAGGAGTGTTGTGCATGTCTTCCCTTCTCAAAGTTGTGATCACTAATAGACCTTGAACTGCATCCCCAAGGAAAGACTAATCTGTTCCACTTTAGCTTGAGGACTGTGACAGTACCCAATAGACCACAATAGGTACAAATTTCATTTACATCTCATCCTTATACATCCACTCCATACTTTGGTACATCCATACTACAGCTATACATTGATCTCTGTATTCCTCTTACACCTTAAAATCCTGATGTTTATACAGGATTTGTTTCAGTAAAAATACATCCCAGCACATGACTGGAAAAGTAATATAGTGATTTTTTTTTTTCACCTGACAACATAAAAAATGCCAGTTGCTTTTTGCATAATTTTAGTATTATTAATAAATATTCCTCTTCTTGTTGAAAACTGCCCTTCAAATTTCTTTCAAGCACTATGATGCTATAAATAGGAATGCTACAGTTGTCTAAATGCAAAGTACAATCATCATTTTATTACAATGAGAAAATGTTACTGGAGTGAAATATTTGGAATTTGTTCTGAGAAGTATTTTGTGCCAGAATAAATAACAGTTAGCAGTAGGAATCAGTAAGAAAATCACCATGTTTTCTTTCTTCACTCTAGGATATTAACAATTACACTTTACCTGTTTGGGCTACTCATGGTGTCAGGACCAAGATAATAAAGCTGTCAGAATTGTTATTGCAAGCAGAATTTGGGGTCCACAAACAAATACAAAAATCACGTTTGCAGGGAGGTAAGCTGAATTTTTACCCCACTTAAAACCAAAAGCAGGATGGGAAAAAAGAAAGGGTGCATGACAATGTTGCTGATTTTATGGTAGAATGGTGAAAGATGCCATTATGGGGATATTGGTGGGCAGCAGTGAAATATTTTGATTAATGGGAAGGGAGACAGTGAGCATATGTATCATGAATACCCTAATCTAACATTATAATTGAGGTATAATTTAGATTACACTATATAAGAAATTCAATATAACATACAGATTCCTGTTGAATTGAATGAAGTCTGAACGTAGCATAAGCCTCCATGCGTAACTTACTTAGAAAAATATTATTTGTAAGAATTGTGACTTTATTGCCTAACAGTCTTCATATTCCACTACTGAGAGTCCTAAAATGAGATTACTAAACTGCTTCTAAACCTTACTCTGCTCAGAAAACAGTGGCTGAAATTTAAAAGTATTTTATACCTTTTTTATTACTCATTCTCCTCCATTCATTCACTGTCATCTTTTGAGCCTCCTTTTTGTTTTATATGGGCAGTGTACAGGCAGGATCTGTGAGCTTAGGAAGACAAATGAACATATAAGCATGAATTAATTTGTTGCATTTTTCAAAGCTCCAAATTGCAAAATTTGGCACAAAGTTCAAACCTCTGCCCTTGCTTTACTAACAATTGCTATTAAAAATGTGCCAGAAGCTAAAGACTAATTCTGTCTAATTTGCTAGCTGGTACAGTTCTACTTTTAGGATTTTAACCTGTCAACATGCCAACCCTATATTAACATACTAGAGCAGCCATTGATTTAAACCAAGTAGTTTGTCTTACAGTTTTTCAGCAGTTAACATTAACAAAACTCAGACAACCACACAATTTATAAAGCCCCAGAGTCAAGAGGATATGCTCTTTCTTTTTTTCCCTGGAAAGCAGGAAATTACTCAAGCTACCCAGACAACAGGGTAGCACTCATTACTGTGCTCTTCTTGCACTGTTCTGCTGGCACAAAGTGACTGTGAATGCACTGTTTGAAGCTGTTGAGGCTGTTAGGGATCCCCAAAACATTTTACACGGGAGTAAAGCAGGTTCACTGTTCATTTGAAAGATACTGTCACTATTAATCAAGGCACTCTGCACAAATTACCAATTGAGTTAATAGAACAAATCTGGTGCACTTAGTGACGGATTGCTGAAATGACAACAATCAATACAGATGTTAACAAAGCATCTCTTTCATCCTCACTGCTTCCCCCTTTTCTTTCAGGTATTCTTTTAAAAACTATTCTAAAGCATATCTTAGATGCTAGAAAGCCTTCATACCACCAAAAAATGGTTATGTATTCCACGGTGAGTGTTTTCTGCTTCTCTTGTGCTTCCTTTCTGCAGTTATTGAATGCTGTGAAAGCTGTGAACTTTTATTTCCTTCATGAAATACAGCTACAAGCATTTTTTTATTTTATAAACATCCTCAAATTTAAAAAAAAAATTTAATGAACAGGCACTACTTTGAAACCTGAAGCATTCCTGGCTTACAACGTTCAACTGAATGTCATGGTTTCTTTATTGTAATAATGTTTTGATTGAGCAGGGAACTGGAAAAATCATGCATCATGTTTTATTAAACCTGGATCACAAAGTTAATTTAAAACAAAATCTCCTTCTTTCTGCATTTTTTCAAGTGCATATGGGGAAAAAAAAAAGAAAAAAATTAGGTTGCAGTTATTTTATCAGGGCTTATGAAGGCAGTTACTCAATTGTGATCTTATATTTTTGTTTAGAATGTACAAATTCTGCCATTGGAGGAGGAAATTTTTTTATTGCTTTCACTAAAAAGCCCCTGTTTCGAAACTGCATTTATATCATGACCTATTGGGTATATATCAACTAAAGAGCTTACTGATCTGATCTCAAACACTGCTTACTTGACAGGCAAAAACCCTAGTTCTTTTTGAAAAAAGTTTTAACAGGTCCTATTAATTTTGTAAGAGCTGCAAGTGACTAAGGCTTCTTAAATATTTCCATATACGTATACTTTATACATGCAAGACTTCAGTTTATATAGCCATAAAGGGACAATATTTGCTCAACAGTGCAAAGGGCAGGTACTAATGAGGACCTAATGAGATTAAAATTGAGTGGACAGATAATGTGAGGGAAATATTGTTAAATAATAGGTTCATGCAATCATTTTCAACAGACCTGTAATTAAAGGTTTCCTCTGTTCACAGCATGCAGCCACCATTGCTGCCTTACAGATGGCACTCAATGTCTTCAATGGAAAATTGCCTCCTCACAGTGCTTGCCATTTTTTTGAACTTTACCAGGAAAAAAACGGGCAAGTATCTGCAAGCTATACTGTTAATATGTACTTTTTCTAAGAAGCAATTTTCTGATACCCAAGACTAATTAAACCGGATACGTGAGGTTCACTATTCAGGGAATTACACATTGATTTTAATTATTGTAATTGCATTCATTTTAGTAGTCAGTAGCAGAATAAGCCTGAAAACCACATCTATATATATACATACAGATATATAGATATCTAACACTTATGAGAGGTTTTTCTCCATCTTTTTATCTATTTGACTCCTTAGCAAAGACAGCAAACGACATGCAAATTGGTGTGGACCCCGCATTGCTTAAAAAAAGTTCTCTTAAGAGTACTAATTATATTAGTAAACCATAAACATATTAGCAACCAGAGAAATAAGCTGGCTAAAAGTTTGTCCCCAAGTACAATAACTGCAGCATGGAAAGGCTGTGTGGTTTTGCACAGCTGACTTTATTGACCCCTCTTTATTTTGAAACAGGCAATATACCATAGAAATGTACTACCGGAACAATTCCTTGAGGGAGCCTCACCCCCTCACTCTCCCTGGCTGCAAATTTCGCTGTCCCCTAGAGAGATTTACTCATCTGGTCTCTCCCATCCTCGTACCCTATTGGACAAGAGAATGTAGAGTGTAGGACATCAAAAGAGGTAAGCTAAGAGCTTTGGGCACATGTACCCAAAAGTAAAGTCAGGATTATGTCTTGAAGTGACAATAATTTTCATAAGGGTCTTGCTCTGAAATGAAAAATATGCAGATCCAGGAAGAGAGAATTGTACCCATGGCTATCATTTCTACTCCATCAATGCATTTATCTATTCCAGACCAACTTTCTGGTGAAATGAAATCAAGGCTGATCTGACTTTAGGGTACTGTTTTACATGTGAGGTTTTTTGTTTTGTTTTGGTTTAGCACGATCAAAAAGATCTTCAGTTACTGAAGAAGTACATGTAAATGCACCGACTTACAACAGTAACCTTTTCTTCTCTAACTGCAGAGTGCTTGTCCAAGCTGATTAACAACAGTCAACAATTATGCATTCTCTTTATTTTAGCAGGCATTCAGAGATCAAAACAGATGAATATTAAATAGTACACCAGGTTGGTACTTACCAGAATGTCAAAAGTATACAAACACACATTGGTATACTAACTCATTTCCTTATAGCTTGTCTATATCACCATATTAGGATGTTTAAATATCCATTTTGACCATTTACAATACTTAGTTTTGCAAAATGAGGGAACAGGAAGGCATAAAATGACATTGTGTGTCTTTTATCTAGCTCTATATTACTTAAGGGAAATGAAAATCTAAGAAATCTCACTTTTCTGATGTTCAAATATTGTACCCAACATTAAAAAATCCCATATGGCTTTCTGAATCACTGATCTCAAGAAGAATTTGAATCGTTGGAGATTATAAGAATGCAGACCCGGCAACTCATCTGGTTGGAAGTAATTTCCTGTTAAATATCTAGAATCCATTAATAGAGTGGAGAGTCTGGCCAGAAGAAAAATTAGCAAGTAATGATTCACTAAACAAATTTCTTCAATATTGCTCACAAATTCTCAGGAAATACTTCAGGAAATTACCACATTTAATTGCAAAAGGTAATTTGGCAGAGGAAGGGGCAGGTTGTTTCTGATGAAGTTTTTTCCATCTACACTACTAATACAGTCATGGAAGATAATGATAAATACTTCATGTTTATATTGTGGTGCTTAATAATCTAAGATTTGTGGAAATTAATCCCTCCTCCTTCACAAAGCAAAGTGAGTAACTGATCAGATAAATAAATGAAAAAAAATTAAATTTTACAATAATAAAGACACAAATATTTAGCCTTTAAGTTTAACACAAAGGCTGTACTTTGTTTCAATCCTCACATTTTTCTGAAGTAGAAGTTAGATGGTATTCAGGCATTTTACACCAAATTCAGCATCACTGCTTTCATTAGCAATCCTGAGTGCTGAAAACACATATAGACCACAAAAGAGGTTACAACCAAACCTGATACTCCAATAAAAAATGTTTTCCATATTGTCATATCAAAATTTGACACTTTCCACTATTTTATCCTAGTAGATAAAATATGGATAGTTCAGAATGGACCTGTTGGGGCCATATCCTAATTTTTTGGACTAATTTAGGAAACATTAATTTCATTTTTCCTGCAGGCAGTTTTAAACACTCTGCTGTGCATGAGTGGCACTTGGGAAAAAGCCAAGGCACACTGATCCACAGGCTGTACAGAGCAGCACACTGACAGTCTGTGCTAAACCACTGTGCACTACCAATTCTCAAGGAATGCAGACAGCCTGGAACAGGTGACTTTTAACACCAGTGAGCTAAATTAAGGAGAAGAATGATGCACAGTTTACAGGTCACAATTACACTCGACACAGACAACAGCAAAATCCCTGATTTCAGCTGTTTCCAACTCTGTCAGAAACTCAACTATTTTTCTTTGCTAATACATATGTTATTAATTTGATTATACATGCATGAGAGCATTTTATGAAGCCCATAAATGTGATTAAAAAAAAAAAAAAATCCAGGAGTGTGACTGAGCTCAAAAATGTAATTTATATAGACAACTATTCTACAGGGAGACTCCAGTTTGCAAACATACAGGTATTTCTATAAAAAGCTTAACTGAAGTTTTACAGAGAGGATTTACGTCCCCACTACAAGGAAATAAAGGGGCTAGGCAAGTATTGTTATTATAGGTCACACAATACAATAGCAGTATTTGAGGGTGGTTTAAATGAGCCTTAAGTTCCTCCACATCTCAATGACCATAGGGTGAAACACAGGAAATGAATAAAGCTCAGCATATTTGGGAAGGAGGTAAAACTGTGAGCCCTTCCTGTGCTCTTTTTGCTGCTCAGGAAGATTTCAGCATGGACTGACTCAACATTTTAACAGACTTTTCCTAGCCCCGTCAAAATGGAAGCAAATGTGTTAACTCCTCCCCACTTAGTCCAAACTGCTTACTTGCAGAGGTACTATTAACAGGCTTGCCATGTTTTTGGAGAATGCCATATGCTAAGAATGCATCTCTCTTTTTGTCTTACCTTTAGGTGTTCCCTCCACTATCTTCAGAGTGCTTCACTTTATGAAAGAACTCTTCCCACACTGTGATATGACTGTGGTCCAACATTTCTCTTTAAATTCCATCAGCATGAACGACTGAGTCTCCTGATCTCTACCAAAAGAAAACATTCCTTAATTCTACAAACAAAAATTATAGAAAGCAAGGACTTTTCTTCATGAATATTTGCTTTACTTTATCATCTGGTAAAACCCAAATGCATTATGAAACCAGAGGAATTTTTCAAGACCTATTTTTTCAAAAGGGTCTTTGTCAGAACTAATTCAACAATGCAGTTATAGCTAGAGTGTTTTCAAGGGCTATAGCCTTGATTTACAGCAAAATTGGAAAATACCTCTGAAGGAGTGTTGCCCTCTTTTGAAGAATGAGACAAGAACTTCCAGAATTGGTGACAGAAGCAATGCTTCAAATGGAGACCCTAAAAGGAAGAGCCATTCCACTCTCCTTAGACTTTATTTTACTTAAGAAGCAATGAATCATTTTACACACAGATCTCAGAAGCCACAAGAATTAGGATAATGCCTTTTTACTTACCTAAGAGATTTCTTTCCTCTTTTCTCTGCCTTTTACATGCACAAATATCCCATCTCTACGTAGAAGGAAGATGACACTTACGGAAAACTTGGACTGTGAATCTAGAACTAAAAGGGGCCTAGAAACAGCCAGGCTAGCTACTATGAAGACTTAGCAACAACTGATAGACCCAATAAGGCTTTCAGTTATTCTTTCCAAAAAGACAGCAAAGCCAAGTGCTAATTCTGGAAGAAAAAGAATTTTTGGTTTCAAATAGCTTTTTTAACATCTTCCTTTTATTATGTTACTTTGATTGTATATTCTGATCTATCATATAAAGTCTGTTCTCCTGGGAAATTGTAAGTAGACACTGTTCTTGACATGAACAAAAAAAAAATGGCAATACAAAATAAAAAAAGTCAGAGCTGCATGCTCATTAAAATACGTAGAATATGTTGGGCAATCCTTCACTAGTTACGTTTTCTAATATTGCTATTGTAAAACCAGCTTGTGTTCTTACTACAAAAGCTGGATCAGAACAATCAGATGCAACTAATTTCTGAAAACAGTGGATTTGTCTTTGCTTGAAGAACTAGGATTTCTTTTTTTGTTTGTTTTCTCACAGTGGATAGGACCTTTTGTCAACAGTCTTATTGCCCACAGATCATTTCAAAGTGAACTGGAATAACAGCTGAGGTGCACACAATTTTGCTATTCTGGCTTCTTTTCCTCAGATCAGGCTTTTAAAATGGATGCTAAACCTGAAAAGTATATTTTATACAGCATAAGCAGATAACTGTCACTCTACAAAATAAAAATTAATCAAAATAAAAAAAAGATCCCTTTTCTGTCCAAAAATAATCTAAGTTTCAGAATTCTCACTGTAAATGCCCTATTCTCTTCTCAGTAATTCCCAATTTCTGTTCTACTTAAGCCACTGTAGGAAATATAGCTCACCAGGAAAGCTGTAGTTAGATTTGCAGCCAAAAAATGCAACCGCTTTTACCATAGCATCCAAACAATGGTAAAAATGTTTTCTGACAACATGAGACAACCAGTTCTACCTGCTTCTTAATGCAAAGAAGAGCAAGCTTGTTTATTCTGCATTACCTTAATGTCCTATAATGGACACTAGAAGAAAGTCTTCCCAGGTCTGGCAGCCCTCACAGGAAAGTTAGTGCCAGCTCTTTAAATTATTCATCTCAAAACCATGCTGATCATCACACCTCCCTTCCTTAGAAGTAATTAAAAAAAACCTGCTAGATGAAAGCAAACAGAAAGGAAAAGCCAAGGCTCCATCTTTATCAGTGTTAGACTTCTAACAGATTGTAGCCTTGGCTGTCAAAACCAAATTTCTAGGCACTTTCTCTTCTCAACCTGTTCCTGTTTCTTCTTTTTTTTTGAACTGGTGCCAAATTGTGGTGCTCGAGCTGCTTTTAACGTTTTGTTTGCCAGATGTTTAGAAGTGAAAGTTCAAGAGCTGTAAAGGGTAAGTTTCATGCTTCTCCCATCAAAGTTAAGGGTAACTTTTCTATTAGTTTCCTGAATAGGACAATGCTGACATAGAAAATGTGATAGAGACCTGAGACATTCTTCGTTATTCTTTTTAGTCTCCAGTTCCCAGCTCCTCTCACCTTCCTAACCCAAATCCATGTCACAAAAACTTTCAAAGCTTCATGAAGATCGTTTGTCCCAGAGATTTGTCTGGTTTGGGGGATCATGGACCTGGATAGATCCTGGCCTCAGCACTTCAGTTCAGTTATGGAAATGCATCCTATGTGAAGTCATTGCTTACTCTACAACAATGTAAGGTCTCCCTTTTCCATCACATGTTGAGACGATATCTTCTTCCATGCTACATGCCTCAGTGTACATATCTTGAATAACCTAATTTCTCTTGAGCAAAAATAAATTTGAAATTTAATTTACAAATTAAGACATTTCTAAATTATTCTATTCCCCCTATCCCTATTGAACAGAAATCCCATCACACACATTCTTTGTAATGGTTTTTGCTTTTAAGACTATCACTGCAGAAACACAGAAAGGAAGATTTCCTTTATACCTCACTAACTCAGAGGGAAAATAAGCATCAGTGTTTATAAAGGCTGGAACATAAAGCCCAGATCTATTGTAGGAATATAAATTGGACTGTCAGTGAATGAATAATAAACTGCTCTAAATTATGTGTTCCTACAACTTCACCAGCTGACTTAATTTGAAAAATCTGTCTTACAGTCTTTTGCAGGCATGAAGTCACAAACAGGTTCATTTCAGTTCCTCATAAAGAAGAAGTGAGTCAAAATTAGTAAAAACAGTTTGATTTTGGAATTATTTAGATTACCTATTTTTTAAATATGTTGCAAAACCAGTATCACCTGGATATGAAACTCCCTCTCTTCTTTTACAAGCAATGCCTAGACAGTCATATTTTAAATAAAACTTGCTTCAATAACCTGAATAGATGCTGTAATATAGCTGGATATAACTTGTGATCACTATTTTTCCTTTCATATGCTGAAGCAGTGTCAGCAAAAAAACAGAAAAGCAACAGTAATTTTGTGCTGCCTGGAAAAGGTGGCGCTGGACAGCCTAAATCATCATTTTCATTAATTTCATCACCTGTTTCTCTTTGGGTTATTTACTGACCTGACTGACTATCAAAAATGAATGAAAGAAGAAAAACCCAAAACAACCCATACTCTGATCAAATTAATCAACTAATTAGATTTGTTTTATAGTAGTACTAGAAGTATGTTTTTGTTTTTATTTAATGTTCATAGTACTTACCCAAGATGTGGCAGACACAAGTTCAAATCCCTCCTTTAGCAAAAAGATTTGTCTCCACTGCTTCTGGAAAATAAAATCACCACCAAACTGCAGCATTTCAAAGGGGAAGATAAGAGGAATAGTGCTTTCTGTCTCTTAGTTATTTGTTCACTTTGAAAAACCTGCAAATTAGGTTTCCCTTGTCTCAGGCAAACACCTTAATCTTATAAGATCAAGAAGAAATTCTCTGACTGCCCTGTAACCAGGTGCACATTACAAACTTGGGACGACCAAGAAACTATTCGAAGACAGTAAATAGTGAGTAGACATTTTCTTCCCCCCACCTGCCTTAGATTAGTAACTTTGTGCTTAGGAAATTTTTCTCTGTAGTCTAAGATACAGGTTCATGTTCTGTCAGCAGTAGAAGTAAGTGATTTCTTTCCATGTCACAAATTAACTTCCTGGTCCCTTCCCACTCCCCACAATTGGGTGAAAACACCCCACCCACAGGACTGTGAGACAGTCTTGTTTTCCTCATGTTTCAGAATGGTGCTTGGAAAATGTGTCACTTTGTTTACTGAAACCAAATCTTTTATTTTCCCTTTTTCAGCCCAAAAACAAAAACAGCTTGGAAAAAAAGGATTGGAGATAAATCCAAAGCATGCTAAGCGCTGATCTGCACATGCAGTCAGTAGCAGGACCTGAGCTGTTTCCCTGCGTGAGCAGCCTGGTTGATGAGTGCTGGCAGCAGTTTCATACCTGGTGCTTTGACTGCAGCGACTTCCACCCTTTCAGGGTGTAGGTTGTGCTCCACCAGCAGTGGTTACCTCAAGTAACCCTTGTGTACAATAAAGCACAGCCACTTCAAAGCAAATCAAGGCTTCAGCAAGCCTTTAAGATAGGTACGTGCACTTAAAGTTTATAATTGTGTTAATTCTACTTAATGCCATAATATCCTATTAGAACTTATGACAATAATTCAAATTAACATAAGCATGATTTAAATTGTTTAGGTTCACTTGCGCTATAATGCTTCAACAACCGTAAATAGATTAAGAAGGACCTTTTTAATTATTATTTTTATTTTGAAGCAATTTTTCCTGAAAAGTGCCAGGATTTAGTTACTGCAGAATATGCTGAATTTATACCTGCCAAATGGCCAGCAGAAATGGAGATAATTCCAGAAACTCAAGGAAATTTTCAAATTGAATACATCCTACCAACATACTTACAGATTGTATACAGGATTCCTACATTACTCTATCTTAACCAATATGGGGAATTTTTTTTCCATTTTGGAATGTGCAAGCATTTACTTAAGTTGTTGTGGTACCTATTATTTTGAGCACAAAATACTCTCCCTAACACAGCATACATGCCAAGGAAAGAGTGAAACCACAGAAATCACTACTACTTAACCATAGGTTTGGTCTTGTGTCAAAGTATCATTTTTAAGAGACATTAGCAAAGATTTTCTATAAAATGTCATTGCCATATATTTTTTAACATTCTTGAATTATGCCATCCAGAATCCTCCTCCCTGCCCCAATAAAATTGAGTCCAGGTCCTCAAGTGAAGTCATTAGAATTGTTCTATAATAGTGAGACTACAGTGGTCATAGACACTCATCAATGAAAACAATAAATCAGCAAATCTTACAAAAATGAATCAATTATGAATTTCGTAAGAAGGTCATAAGAAGGATAAGAAAAGATTCCAAGAGCCAACAGTGATCCTTGATCAAATAGCTTAGGAACCACCCATTACATAGATTAAAAAGGTAGGACATCTATTCTTGAGTTTTGAGACATATTAAAGTATTCTGACAGTATGTCTTATGACCTACACTCTCAAATAATGGAGGAAGATGATCAGCTTATGTTTGTTTTCAGAAAGACAACATATTATATATTTATGAAGTATAGATAACTCTCATGCAGCTTTTGCATAGGCAAAAATCACACCAGGAGAGATCAAAAAGGAGGGTGGGGACATAACAGTGGAGGAAGAAAGAAGTCCAGCTGTTGAAAACTGGGAATGGACTGAGAAGACAGACAGGAAAGTTTGGGACCTGTATACTCCTCCCATCCAGTCCCATCCATCAGACAATGTGGATACATAAAGGCAACATTCACACAACTCAGAGAGGACACCTGAGGCTTAGTGGGCTTTAGGGCCTTAAAGACGGAATTTCTGGTAAATGGTGAAGCACCTGTTGTAGAAAATGCTTCTGCTGCAGAGAGCTCAGCAGAAGACCCTGAGACAGGTTTGGGCATGACAGGAATGGAATAACAATACACAAAAGACCTAAAGTTTTAGCATTTAAAGAACTCTACTTAAAGATCTCTGCAAACTAATTTATTACTCAAAAAGTGCTTATGAAATCATGTCTACAGGTATCATTCTTATTTTGTAGAGAGGAAGTCAGCAGAGGCAAACTGAGCAATCTCCTCAAAGCCACCGAACTACTGTCAGAAAGAGTGCTTTTAATCAGTAATAATAAAAAATGTGAGATCCAGGACTCGTTCACAAGAAATTTCTTAAAGATTTGAGGCCAAAAAAGATCTTGACATAAGCAGTTCCAAAGAGCAAGTCTAGGAATACTCCAAGGGAAAAGAAAAATAACACACACAAATTGAAGGGCAAATAACTGTCCAGCAAGGATCTTAAAGAAGATACTTGTCGCGAAATTTTTTTGAGTATTTTATGTGAGGGACTGGCAATTTTAACCTACATGAAATTTTGTTTTAAACAATTATTCTGATTTTACAATGATAATGTGGAAGGGGGGATAAAAAGGGAGGGGAAGAAAGCTGAAAAGTGGGCTAACTGAGCAGCAAAGAGAAACTATTGCCTGGTTCGTGGTTCATTCTTGTAGCTGTAGTTTGGAAAAATTCCAGGCACAGAAAAGTCAAAACAGAACAAGTAGGTTGAAATATTAGCAATGCTTAGCAATTCCTTTGTATTTTGACTTTAGCCTCACACTCCAAAAGAGAAAAATATTACAGGAAAAAAGGAACTGAATTATGATTTGATTAAAAGAATGTAAACAGTAATTTGAAAACAAAGGGCGATGCAATTTGTTGCGTAGTCACACAACATTCCTCTTGGATTTGAAATGCACCAGCGGCAGTTCCACCCCTTCTGAAGGTACAGCCTGACATTTCACAGTTGAGCCTGAGCAGCTGCTGGAGCTACGAAGCCTTTCTTTCCTCTTCTGTCAGAATGGGTGTGATACGGCTTCCCAGCTTGTCTAGGATCCTGTGTTTTTCTTTTTACATTATTCTCATTCTGCTTCAACAGACTACTGCAGCGCGAGAACTGAAGTTTGTGGTTGTAGTAAGTAGATACGTTCTCTGTTTTGTTGTGGGGAATACAGGGACAGAATTACATGTCTATTGAATCAGACAAGGTGTACAGTCTCTTTGCTTGTCTTCAAACTTAGAAATAAGTACTGCTGTCCTTTTGCTTACTGAGTTTAAAGACCTCACCTAAAGAAAGATAAAAATGTTTCTAGTTCTTAGAATTTTCATCTCCTAATCTCCTAATTAATTAATCTCCTACTTTCATCTTCAAATTTTCCTCTCCTAATCTCCTAATTATTATTTCAAGATAACTGACTTTGTGGTAGATGCATAGTGCAGCGCAATTAAAAGATGCAAAGTCCACATTTACCTATTCTTCCTTAGTTTAGCTGACACTCCAATGCATAGTGTGAGAGCTGGTGATTATGGACCTACCTCTTCTATGCTTGCAAGCTGAAGCTTATCATGTTACAGAAGTTACCACACATAAACACACAAAATAAATACTTTCCATTTCACAATAACGGAATTGACACAGCAGTACACTGAGAAACGAAACAGACAGGCATTTTTAAGTGGAGATTTAAGAGACATGTTGTATTGACTTCAGTTAGGCTGAAAACAGACTCTAATAATTCTTTTGCTGGGCCATTTCTTATCTCAAAGTAGCTAAACACTACTTCAATGTCACTTTCCCAAATACCTCTAGAAAAGGAGACATTAATTCAATGTAGTACTTTGGATTATAAAGCTTGAACCATGGTCCTTTTCATTCTTTTTATAAATAGAAGGCATAATGATAAAGAATTAGTCCAAAGGAATGTTTTCTGTACAAAGTTGAGGGGATTGGAATGAACTTTTATAAATAGGTAATTGAAGATCTTCTCCTTCAGCCTTTTCCTATTTGAGACATTATGTGTGCAGAAGTACTGTGTCCAAAACATCTCTTCTGACTCTAGATAGAGCACTTCATGTATAGCCACATTGGGTGTATTGTGCATGCACAGCTTGGAGCAAGGCCAGAGTACACAGGAAAAACCAGTTCCTACTCCTGCTGAGACACCACACATAGCAGGGACCTGACGCTAACTGCAGTAACATTCTGCACAGAGAAATAAACTTACATGTTTTTTCACTGGTAACAGGGAGAACTGGACACACAGATGAAAACAGGTAGACAGCAAGCCTTGGAGCATTAACTGCTTGAAAGGAACGAGATTTTAATTGAATTGTAGCTGTTATTGTGTTTTGAAAAGCAATGGTTTTGCAGAATGGTTTTGGAATAGTTACCACTATGGAGATAGAGACTTCTTATCCAAAAATCATCTGCTTACCATAACCTAACAAAAAAACCAACCAAACAAAAAAAACCAAAAACCAATTTCTAGGGTAGTTTGTCACAATAAACATTAAAGAGTAGGTGAATTTCATTTAGACTGTCTTCCTTTTAATCCTGTTACTTTTGCTTAGGCTGACCAATCACATAAAATGTTACAATAGGTTTAATCTTAACACAATATACATCTTTTTTCTCAAGGCATGGTTTATATATGGTCTATTGAATTTTGCCTTCTGAAATCACTGAATTTTCATAGAAACAGGATTGCTAGTATAAATATACAGCATAGGAATTGACCCCGTCAGTGAATATATCACTCATATAATGGGATATAATGAGGGTATTGCTACAGTCAAGGTAAATCTGAAAGGCATCTTTCTGACATACTTCAATAGCCATTGTCCAGCTGTCCTGTAAGTTACTATGTTTTCACCTGGGAGTATTACTGCAGTGTGAAAATTGTCACAATGACTTTTTAAAACTTTCTTAGCAGAATTGCACAATATAAAATACATCTGCAGGGGTGAAGAAACACAGGTAAATGTTCACTTCTTCTCACTTCTAGAATTGTGCTGTGCCTGGGAACGTGAATCACTCTCTCCTCACAACTTCCAACTTTGTGCTGATTCTGTGTGTTTTGATTATTGGCCACAAGCCCAGTTCTCTGAAAGGCTCTAATTCAAGCCAATTTGTCAAAATGCTTTTTCAATTTCTTTGCTTACATGTAAACATTATTTTTTACCATAACTCTTGTGCAATGAATTTAAGATTAAAGGCAGAATTTAAATTTGAAACCACAAACTTTAAAGAAAGAAGAAAATAGGAAATATGTAGGACAATCAGGCACCCAAGTGGAAACGAAGTACTGATTTATTGCCTCTGTTTACAGAAGTTCTGACCTGGACCTTCTGCCTCTACACACACACACATTTCACCTGTCATATATACAAAGAGGTGTGGTTTCTGAGGCATTGTGGTTTCATCATGTTTTTCTTCTTGTAAATCAGGATAGGAAGCGCTGACCGAACATGTTATCTCTGAGCGTGATTTCTTTAATCAAGCCAAGCCATCTGAAACCTTGACTAGACATGCTCAGTATTTCTACATCTGATTTCCCTGAACTGGCAGCACGATGATTACACTTCACTTTTGTTTCTTCCTTCCTACTGCTGGCTTCAAAGTAAGAGATCTTTTTGTCTAAATTTAAGCCTGTCAATGAAAGTGTCTGCAAGGGGCTCACTATTATTCAGAGACACATACTTCACTGTAATTCATGGCGTTTCTAAATGAAGATGTTATATATATTGTGTGTACGTTACACATGCTATATTCTCAGGGCACCCCCGCCCCTGCACCAGTTTGTCTCCAATATGATTTTTCACCTGACAACAATGGAAGCAAATGCTGGCCAAAGTCTGAGTCATGTGACCATTTTCATATGAAGTGATCATGCTCACAAAGTTACCAAGAGTGAATGGATGAACCCAGACACCAAATCAGATTCAAGTTGTATCAGAGTGGAAGGAGAGGGTAATGAATTTGGTAATTATTCATCTACTCCTTTAGAGAACTGAAGCACTTCAAAAGGAGTGCCAAAATTAATATACCAAACAGATCTGCTTTGCTCTTCTTGTGTACTTTCCCCTTACCATCCCCTCCTTGATTTCTGGTGCCTTTTCAAGTTTTATGATGCTTCCTTGCTCCTCTTCTCTCATTCTGCCATGTTCTGTGTCTCCTGAAAGGTCAGGAAGGCAATCTGTAGGCCAGGAGTAATAAATGCTGCAGCACACATTTTTTTAAAATTAATTTGAAGAATCCACACATTTTTAACAAAGTAGAAATTATACTCGTGAGAAACATATACTGATGAGTAAGATCTGCAGTGATACGGTTTCTTTTCCTATCAGGTGTTCTAACGAAAAACACAGTTTCAAATTTTAGAAAAAGTCCCCTAAGATGTAGCTGTGAGTGAATGAATTGATCTTTCAGGTTAAGTGGTTGTACATGTGATCATTTCAGCCTAAGCAAAGTCACTTTCAGAAGTAGCAAGGAGGCTTGTGCACATACAAAAACCAGTTGGCTAAGAAGCTTTGTCCTTCAATTCCTAAAAATGGGGTTCTGCTTTTTTAAGTGTTTGTTCCCTTCTTGCTGCTTCCAGCTTAGTGTTCACCTCATATTTATACGACACTGTGCAATGAAGGTGCAAAATATGAACAAGGAGCGTAATTATTATTTCCTATTTTGTGTGGACTTAAGAGCACACCTCCACTCCTTTAATTGCTTAAGGATACAAAAAAATAAAATCTTTTTCTTTATGTCTCCTGCTCACATATTCAATATCTCTTTTGATCTTGATCTTTTTGCACACTAATCTCTATTCAGATAAAATGCTATTCTGGCTTACCGAAAGCTGTTAGGGGTTGACTGTTGTGACACACTCAGGTTCATGCTGTACATTGAACACAAAACATCACAAACCAGCATTTAAAATCTAACATGTTGCCAGTAATTTTTCACTAATAAAAAGGGTATATTTATTCTTTTCACTAACAAAAAGGCCAAGTGTTGATCTATTCTTAGGTATTGCCTAAAATATACATAAAAAATAGTCATTTAAACATATCAGTCAGTTTGAACAATTGTCAATTATCCATAAAAATGCTTTTGTGTGGAGATGGATAATTTAACAAGAGAGGATGCAGCTATACTGTAATTGGGAATTTAACCTTCATTCTTGACACAGGTACCAGCTTGTCCAGAAAAACTAATGAATCCTACCTGACACCTATATACATCAAAATAAGGAAATGAGCAGTAGTACAAAAGTCCTTCTCACTCATTTTTCTTGCACACAGCTGAATCAGCCACCAGACAACACAATTCTTCATTTATTCTTCTCTTCACTACAGGTGCACTGAGAAATTGTTATAAAGAACCAACTGAGATTCAAAATTATAAGAAATGAGATTTAAAGAGGATTAAAAATTGCAAGGATAAGGAAAAAAAACAAACCCAAAAAGCAAACTTGATTATGAGGGTGAAAACCCTCCTTGATTCACTGCAACATATTCATTTCAGGTTGGCCACATAGTGAAATTAAACTGTCAAAACAAAAAACATACATGTTCTAATGGTAACTTATACTCTAGCAAACTTTGTTGTCTATTGTAGAAAATGAAAAGAGGGAGAAATCCAATCATATTTGCCTTTACTGGACAGTATTTTCCATCTCTGAAGTACCCGCTCTAGCACAGGTTCCTGTGCATTAGGCTGATGGAAAGGGTGTGTGTTGCAATTAAAACATTAAGTCACACCGCTGGTGTTTACTTTGAAAAATATAAATGTGAAACACCTCCCAGTGGGAGTGGCAAACTAACTAGTGTGAACAACCCTCTCTGCTGTCTGGGCAAGAATGATGTGGCTTAATGAGGCAATGGAGAGTATTAATTATAAGCAAGTTTTGTACCACTGAGGTATTAAGGCATAAATGTCATTTTATTAACAAATATACCACGCTGCTACATTGTCATTTTATTGTGCTAAGTCAGGAACAAAGTTGGCGATGGGAACATTGATAAGCAAAGGTAATTTTTCCAACAGTTTGGGTCAGCATTTTGTTTCATGAGAAACTTCTGTGGATTTAATTTTTCTAAGCTTATGCAGCATATGCTTAGGGGGAATAATTCAGTCTTTCAGAACCATTTAATCCAGGGCTGTAATTTCTTTTGTGTCGCTATAGGACACAAGACAACACAACGCAGACACACTGCTGCTCTCAGGCCAGGAAGAGAGAGATTTATTTTCTGACTCTTACATTTATAGATTTCCAAACGTGACATAGGATTGGAGGGTGAAAGTGCCACCTCTCCACGGACACTGGACAAGCCCACAGTCCATCAAGTTTCTTCTCCTCCATAAAGGAATGCAAAACAATAAGTTGTTTACAGAAAGTGTGTGAGAAAGTTTGATAAAAGAATGCAAACATCAGAAGGCTTAGAAAATCTTAAGAAATGAGGGCGACACTTTTGTATGCTGGAATCAAAACACAACAATACTCATTTAATTTTTCTGATTAAAAATCATATGATTGAATGCATCACACTAATACTCACCATGCTGGAGTGTCCAGAATAGTAAAGCAACCAAGCTCTTTGCTCTCTCCAAATTTGATAAAAATAAAATCCTAAAGACATGTAACAGTACTAATAAAGTATTTAATGTAAATGTTTATACTCTTTTATCTTTATATTTTAGGATGATTGAGAAACTGAGCATAAGATCCATATGTACATAGAATTACTTTTAAAGATACTGCTATGAAGGAAAGGTTACCAAAAATTTTCAAGTGTCTATGATAAAGTAATTAAATACTAATCTAAGCACATCAATAACTGGCTTAATATTCAGAGGCACTCAGCCTCCAAAATTCAGTCATATTTCCTGTCCAGATGCCTAGCTGGACACAATCCCAACGTTGTGTGAACACAATCCCAACGTAAACATCGTGGGTGATCAATTTAATGTTCTAGGAGGAAGAATCATCAGGCTTATGCCCACTTAATTCTAATATAATTATACATAATCTTGATTTTAAAGAATGTATTCACATCTTACTTGACCAGGTTTCACCAGGTTTCCGCAGACTCTCCAACATTTTCATTTGAAAAATGACACTGGAAATATAATATATGCTTCACTACTAGTTAGATAAGAGTGTTAACAGTAATGAACTCAAGGGGTTTTTATTGCTTACGTTGTCAGCTTTTCCGACACGGTGACCGAACACCAATTGTGAACTTTCCAACTGATCTACACAAAGAAAGTGAGTGGCCCCAGGGATTTGGACAGCTCACCAAGGTATGTTGACTTTTCTAAGAACTTCAAAATGCCACTAAAAGAGGAAGTGGGAAGATTTTTTTTTGTGTGCGTCTCAAAAGCATTAGCAAATCCCAGGTTCTGATAGTTGACATTAGCAAATACCAATACCAGTAATTCATAAACATTTTTGCCATATTTTTCATTCAGCTATTTTTAAATTGAAATCTTGTTCATCATAGGTTTATAATTACCTTCCCAAAAGCAACAACTTCTTGATAGTGTATCTGCTTTCAAACAAATGGCAAGTTTCAACACTGTACTGTTAACATTGATGAAGTTCTAATGACCATTAAGTACTGAGCCCTGTAACAGGGCAAAGACATGACACCTGCCCACCAAGTCAAGTGAGACGAGTCCACCTCTCCTCACTGGACTGACAACCGCCAATTCACAAAACAAGAGGAGACTTGCAGGAGAAGGTTGCTTCTGGGGACAATGCGTCTTCTAAGAAGGCCACTTTCAGTCCAGAGCTTCACTAGGATGCACTGAACCTACTTTGTATCTGACATGTGACACTCTGGAGCAAAAGGAAGCCAATACATTTCGTAGTAACATTTTGTCACCGTGCAGAAGTATGAAATGGAGACAGTTCAGTGTTTCATGTTTGAAAGGGGCTTGAAAGGTCTGTGAAATTCACACACTAATACGTTACTGTCTTATTTCTAGCTTATGTACTAAGATGTCCCTGCTTTGGCATTGGCTTTTTTGAGAGCTTTTTGCTATTTTTCTATCTTTTTAAAAACAGTAGTAGGAATGTACTTCTCTGACAGGTAGAAGTTAAAAAGTTCAGCTCAGGCTTTAGAAATAAATAACAGAAAAGACAGTCTGCAACCTAAGACAACTGCAGACACACCAAGGCAAAGACAGAAGAATGCTACTTAAGGCATGAAATATAAGCCACAAATGTATAAGGCTGGACAAATAACAGGGCAATGACAATGATAAATACTAGGCTGCCAATCATCCTCTCTCAGTTGTCACTAAGTGACATACATTGTAAAGGACAATGTTGATCGATGTCTACCAACAGTTCTGTGGAAATAGTATTTGTATGGAATCAGGGGCATTGCCTTTCTTTAGCAGATGCTGCAATCTTAGCACTTCAGAAGATACAATTTCTTCATAGATATAAGTGACCATTTCTAGTAAAAATTCTAGATCACCTGCAACATACACAGTTGTTCTGTTTTTGGCTGAGAAAGAGCTGGTATGGGGCTCTGTTTTGGAATTGTGCTGAAAACAGTGCTGGTAACACAGGGATGTTTTTGTTACTGCTGAGCAGGGCTTACAGATTCAAGGGCTTTTCTGCATCTTGTACCACTCTCAGTTTGTCTGGGGGTGCACAAGGAGTAGGGAGGGAACACAGTTGGGACAGCAGATCTCCACTGACCAAAGAGATACACTGCACCACATGATGCCATGCTCAGCATATAAAGCTGGATGGAGAAAGAAGAAGGGGCAGACATTCAGCTTGATGTCATTTGTTTTCCCAAGTAACTGGGATGGGACCTGCTTTCCTGGAGGCTTAACACCTTCCTGTCCATGGGAAGCGGTGAATAAATCCATTGTTCTGCTTTGCTGGCATGTGTGGCTTTTGCTTTTCTTATCAAACTGTCTTCAACCCCTGGAGTTTTGCCACTTTTACTCTTCTGATCCTACCCCCCAATTTCACCAGGGGGGAGTGAGAGAGCAGTTGTATGGTGTTCAGTTGCCAGCTAGGGTTAAACCACAATAACAGTATGTTATACAACATACTGTTGATCAGTTAATGATCACTTAAAAGCTGATTGCTGAAGAAAAAAAAAAAAAAGAAAAAAGAAAAAAATGACAATTTTACACTAGAAGTCTCTAGTAACCTTAATCTAGTAGTCATTCATATGCTTGCCTTACAGACTGGAATGCAGCAGCTATTTGAACTTGGGCAGTACATGAGGAAACGATATTCCAGCTTCTTGAACAGCACGTACAACCGGCAAGAGGTATAGAGCAGAACTGTCTGCAGCATGTTTCTCTGGCATAGCAGAGAAAATATGGATTTATAAAAGCACATTATTACGCTCATTTCATTAATGAAGAAATTAGGGTAATAGAAAAACATTTTTGAAAGTCAGACTTAGGTCAAGGTAAAAACGGAATAACATCTATTTTTCAGGACTTACATTCTGTTTGGGTCTTTCACAACCTAATTTTCCCAAACTGAACAGCTCCACGATGAATAAGTTGGGAATTTTTCAACAGACTAAGATAATAATGGTCACTGTACAGATAAATACTTCTCCAGTCATGTGATGGGCCATGCTTACACACCTCCTCCTGTAACAGAGAGGTCTAATAGCTCTTTGGATGTGCTTATCACACAGTACAGATCTATTGTGGAGAAGACACCTCTAACATTTTGGTCTGTTTAGGAGGCATGCATTATGGGAAAGTATGAAAGACCTTTGCTGTGCTTCCAAGAAAAGTTTATATCTTTGAGTGCTTTAACATTCCTGATCACTGATAGACCATAGAAACATTTAGGGGGGAAAAGACCTTTATGAATTTCAAGTCCAATTGTTAACCTGTCCACCACTAAATCATATGTATCAATGTTAAGATTGAGAAAAATAAGATAGAGACCATCCTTCTTTGAAATCATATTTTCATATTCCTTCAGTTCACTCTGAAGGTTAGATTCCAAATTAAAAGATGCCTTAGAAATTCCATTTGTGAAACTGAGGTAGCGATCTGGAAAGCTGAGTTACGGTTTCACTGTTTTGACTTTATGCAAAAATATAACACTAAAAACAAGAAGTCAGTATTGACAAGTTGAATAAAATTTCCCTAAAATTTTATCCTTTCCATTTTATCTTTAATTCTTTGCCATTCTATTTTCAGTTTTACATCCAAAGTACAGATTATGATCGCACCATTATGAGTGCCCAGTCATATCTTTCTGGCCTCTTTCCACCAACCAGCAGCCAAATTTGGAACCCTGACCTTCTCTGGCAACCCATTCCAGTCCACATTTTTCAAAAAACAGCAGAGCAGGTGAGTACTGGCTAGAAGCATTCTATAAGGTCCTAAACTTTCACAGAAGCAAAAGAACAGAAAAAAGGAAAATAGTTAAAAAGCATTTTTTAAAGCTTTTTAGTTCAATATAATAGAAAATATCAAATGGAGCTACTGGCTGACAAGTGTGCCATAGGTCAACTGGAACAGCTACATGAAAATCCTCCTTCCATAGTTGCAGAATACCCAAATTATCACACACACCACCATTTTCTCTGAGGTTATTTCTTCTGACCAGAAGACTTCTGGGCAGTATTCTAGGAAAGTTGTCCTAAATCTTTACAGGAAACAAGTGCTTTTCTAAACAGCATTCAACTAGGCATATCTTGTCTCTTTGGCAAGTTTTTTCCATAGTTTATTCAAGGAATTGAATTTCCACCAGCCACAATAATGACCTCAAAATTATTACCTTCCCATTCTGGTAGCACTTAGGCATTCTAATTACACACAAGGGCTCTTTTATGCTCAGTGCTATGGAAACATTTAATGAAACCCTAGCACTTCTCTTGCAGATCAAGAGTAGACATACCTGAATAATAGGTCCTGTAGAAGTCTTACTTCATATAGCTCACTCTGGCTGATTCAGGTTTAGATTTTAATTTCACTTGCTCTTGTGACAAGGACTGTGTAAGGAACAGTGTGGCCAACAAGGATAAAAAGCTTGTGAGTGTAATAACAGAAAGCCTCATTTACTTCTGGCTTTGAGGACAGAAGCTGACTTTAAGAAAATTTGTACAAACCCTCTGTTACATAACTACCCATCACCAACATTAGACAATGGACTCACTCATTAGGGGGCTGCCACACCTCTCTCCCTTTGATGTTGCTCCATTCTTAGAGACCATGTTTGAAAACAGGTACAGAGAGAAAGGGTTCCCACAAACTGGATTAGACAAGTGTGATTCAGCCACAAACTTAACCCTGTTCCTAAACAGAAAAGAACACTGTCATTGTTATTTAAATACAGGACACCAGAGGAAGCCCTTTCACCAGAAGACAAGAAAACATCAAAGTGGTTAGAGTTTTGGCCATATATACACACATATAATCACAGTGCAATGAAATAACCTGTTTGAGGAAGGCAAGCTCATTTGTAGGAGTCTCTAGTGCCTCATCACTTCTGTGGCTGCTTCAGGAGTGAGTATTGATGCTTCTCTCAAACACACCTCTGCAGCAACACAAAATGCCTTTTATCATGCAAACCACCTGGAAAAAAAACACTGTTCCCTTGTTAAACCAAGCAGATGTTTGAAGTTATCTTCAAGCCCCAAGAAACACAAAGAGAGAAACTGAAGCCAGGTACAGTCCTGTATAAAAACCATAACCACAGTTCATTTTTAAGCCACTGACATCAATCAAGACTTGACAGGCAACAGTACTGAGTACTGCTTAATGAAGCCAAAGGGAGTGGCTTGATTAACAACACCTAGAGAGGGATAATTAAGACATACAGCAAGAGAAACATTTGTTATTATGTAATTAAACAACATTCCCCAGTTTCATATTGCAACTTTGAGCTTTCATCCTTCAGTGTGCCACTGTTACAGAAAAAATGGACCATTGGAAATCTATCCAAATGAAAGCGGGCTAAGGTCTGTTGGTGGCTGCTGCCAATGTCCCACTGGAAACATGCTGGAAGTGCAGTCTGTAAATGTTACAGGATAATACTAGTGCTGGGTCAAAAATGCTATAGTGATGTGGCATCAACTGCTAAACCAGCACAAGCTTGTTTTCTTCACTGTGGCTTTTCACTGACATTTTATGGTGTATCAGGAATTATTTGTCTTTGTGCAATTGATATAAAACATATTTGCCAGAGCTCAGGGTTTGAAGGATGCATGTATTTACATGTTGTTCAGGTCAAATATGTACTATCATGTGACCTCATAAAGCACACACTTGGAGTAATTAAAAGTGAACCATTTCCCTAAAGAATAACAGAGACCTTAGGCCCATAGCTTTTTGATACTTCAGAACAATTCATCACTCTTGTTTCAATTTCTATTAAGTAGTACTTAAAATGCTTACCATAATCCACTGGTTACCTCCAAAGAGATGAAACCTGGATTTATAGATGGAGAAGCAATTCAGGTTCCAGTACCAGCTGGAGTTAAGTTAAGTTACATCTGGGGAAATACAGAAAATGAGAGGGACGTTGTAGCTTTTAAAAATTTCTGATCATGGACCCTGACCCATTTCTCAAAGCAATCCCTTAACAGATATGCGTAATTTCTTTTTACCAAAATCAGTTAAATTGAGTGAAATCAAGCTATCACAGAAACAAGTAGCCATTGAAAAGTCAAGATACCACAGTCTATCACTTATGTTAACTGAATTCATGATTAAGGTACCCAAACAATTATTGAGTAGGTCTAGCACAACCATAAATCTGTTTAAAAAATATTACACCATTAATCTCAGCAACAAAAAAAACAGAGGGGTGTTGATAATTTTAGAACTATTCTAAGTTTTCCTTTTCATGTTTCAGAGGCTGAACTTTCCTCTGCCCAACTGTCCCCGTTTTGATGAACTTCAGCAAGAAACACAAACATCAAAAGAATTTCAAAGTAGAATACAACCATACAAGGTAAGAGAAAAAAAACCCAAAGAAACAAAAATCCAAACAAACACAAGATGTGAGAAAAAGGAAGGTAACTAAGTTGCAGAAGTTAAGGAATTTAAGGAATTACATTTTTTCTCCTTTTGTTAAAATACAAAAATTAAGTGAAAAAAAATTAAACCCCTGTTTATGTTATGTTATCATTGGATCAGAGATGACACAGAGTCAAATCAGAAAGTAAAGCAGCAAAATAGCTTAAACCACTTCTTTTATACTGGTCCAATACAGGTGGACCTGATTGGTCATTTAATCAATACATTTCACATGACTGGCTAATTAACAAGACACCCATTTGCAAACAACCTTATGGGCAAAACAGCTTATTACAAAACACCAGGTGCAGATTGTTTAGAATTCTTTCTCTCCAGCTCCCTAAAGTTTCCCAGACTGATTCATAGGAAAGCTTATCTAGCTTTCTCTCTCTGATCAGACTATTACATCCAAAAGGTTAGATACTAGAGAAAGGTTCTTCACCCAGAGGGTGGTCAGGCATTGAACAGGCTCCCCAGGGAAGTGGTCACAGCACCAGCCTGACAGAGTTCAAGAAGATCTCAGGCACATGGAACAATTCTTAGGAATGTCATGTGCAGGGCCAGGAGTTGCACGCAATGATCCTTACAGGTCCTTTCAAACTCAGCTTAGTCTTTAATTCTGTGAAAATTCTGTGAAAATGGTGGGTGTTAGTGAATCTATCTGCATGTATGTTCCATGTGTATTGAGCATTTGTACTACACTCTTCACTTTTTCCCCACAGGATTTTTTACAAACAATGGCAGTCAACACAGGGCTTGAACTAAACCACCTTAAAATACTGGACAATTTCCAGCTCTGGAATACATATGATACTCTACATTGTGAGGTAAAAATAAATCACTAGATGCCGGGGAGGACTATAACTCCAGCTTTGTGTTTCAATTAAACCATGGCAATGTGTTTTCACTGGAATGAGTTGTATTGTCTCCTACTTTTTTTTTTCTTTTTTTTTCTTTTTTTTTTTTTTATTATTTGAATCTAAGTTACATTTTAGTGCTTTGATAAAAAATAACAGAAAAATATGGTCTACAGCTTGGGAGATTGTCATTTCCATTTCATGTTTGAGAAACTGTTACCATTCCCATTATTTCCTTTTCCCCCTTCTCAATATGCTGCTATAGAATTATTCAGCATGATGGCTATAATAGATTTGTGATTTTTAACAGAGAAATGAAATTATTAGCTTTAAACTATTAACTGGTAAACATCAGAATACTTAAGATTTTGAACATGACAGATCATGAAAGGTCTATCCGTTAAAAATTTTTGAGACAGTGATTGCTATCAGTTAAAAAACTGACCCCAAATATGGGATAATTCCATTTGGCCCCAGTCACTACTGGCAGTGCATGAAGGATTTTGAACATATCCTCTACAAACTGAGGTAATTAAACATGATAAGACGCCGTCACTTTTATATGACTGGGGTGTGACACTTGTCTCTAGCTGCCCAGTGATAGAACTGGTATGTGGACAACTGTATGGAAGGCAGAGAAAATTTACATATTTATAACCTGAAGACCCAGAGAAAGGAAAAGAAGAAGACATATATCTGCAATATTTCCCACTAAAAACATGTATCTCTATAGCAAGAACACATTATACCTACAAAGAATCTCCTTCATTCAGGTGCTTCTGCTCTTCCCATTCACTCACTTCAGGCCAAGCCCCATTCCCACAAAATGTGTTTCAGGGCATACTCTGGAGTGAAACCATACCGTGCAGAGATTTCCAGCACAGCCTCAGAAAGTCTAAACTAAATAGTGTAAGGGTAGATGATAGGATGATGGAAACCAATGCATTATAAACATTGTTTTGTTTTCCTTTACCACTAGGGTATTCACAATTACACTCTCCCTGTATGGGCCACTGAAGATGTAATCAACAAGATGGAAAAACTGGCAGAATTGTCCTTACTGTCATTATTTGGGGTTTATAAAACAGAAGAGAAATCAAGACTACAAGGAGGTAAATAAAAAAAATGCACAGCTCTAAGAAAGGAAAATCCTGACACTTTACTAATGCAAAATCATCCAAACAAACTCTTGATTTGAAACTATGGACATTGGATGCCATATTAAGAATTCAAATATGTGCTGAACATTGGCACTTTCTTGGATAAAATACTGCAACAAGGTGTAAAAATTACTATCTTCAGGTTTTCCAGATTTTTTTAAGTGATTTGGACTTTTTAGAAATATTATAGAAAACAAAGGGAAACAAATCAGGCCCTCATGGTTGTGATCATTACTTATCTTATAGTAGGTTAGATTGTTTCTCCAGCATTTCTTCTAATTGTTTACTGTTGCTTTTTCCCTTTGATGTACTGGTTACACATTGTGTCAAAACACTGGCAACACATTTGTAGCTCTCTCAGTGATACAAAGCTGCTCCTAAACAATCTGATCAGAATAAAAACTGAGAGATTCCAGTTATGTCTATACTGCAAGAACTACAAGAACTGGGAACTACTGCTTAGCTCCAAAGTTGGGGTACATAGACTCTGCTGCACATTCTGACACTACTTCAGGACACATATTCCTGCTCATATGATCCCCAGGTGTCCATGAGCAGGAAATCCAAACAACTGAGTCTCAAGATTTGCAGGCTGGAACATTTGAGGCTAGGCTTTCTAATGCACCTACTGTGCAGATCTAGGTAAAGAATTATTAGCAGATCCATCACCTGGGCATTCACATCACTGGACTGAATATATAGTAATTACAGGCTCCAATCTGCAGTAAAGCCTATTAGCTGGCAGATGCCCATATCACACGGTCAACACTATTTGATGTTCACTGGCATACCAGTTACATCCTCTTTCCTTAGAATGATATAAACTGTGCTTCAGGGAATTTCTGCTGCCTTTACCCATTGGTTTTAGAACACTTTTGGGCTGGAGAAGAAGTACAAAAGAACTTTGGAAAAAGCAAAGAATGAATAATGTGCAACATGTTGGAAGTAAATAGTTAAAATATTTCTTAAGTATGTAGAGAGGAAGGGACCAGCACAGCTGTCATTATTCCAACACTACAAAAAAGCAAAAAAATAATGGAGAGATCCCAGCATAACAGAACTGGAAGTGTCATTATCACCAGTTCTCAGGATGGTTCTAAATGATTTCCTGTGAATCCTGCTTCTTCACTTGACCTGGATGATGAATCATATATTTCTCCTCTGTAATATCTTCTCTGTAGTCACAAAATTGTATTAAACTGAAAAATGAGTATGAGGCCTGAGTAATGTCTTATATTTGATACTCTAAATATTTTGTCTTTTTTGTTTCCATTCAAACATTACACCTTCATTTTCCACTCCCTTTTTTCCCATCTTTTTAAGGTGTTCTTGTGAATATTATTTTAAACAGTATTAAACAAGCTGCCAATTCTTCAAAACCAACAAAAATGGAGGTCTACTCTGCAGTGAGTATTTTCATCTTTCATAAATCTTGCTTTGATTTTATCAGTAAGTTAAATGAAAGAATAATAAACTACAGTTTAACTAAAGTGCTTTAAGTGTACTGATCGGTGTTTTAAGGTAAACACCAATCAGTACAAGAACATGGTATAGGTATGGATCTCACTTCAGTTTTAGTTAAACTATATTTGCCAAATAACACTGTATATTTTATCATTCATTATTCCTACAACCTAATGGTGCAGTTTCTGTTAGTTGCATCTTTCCTGAAGTGCTCCAAAGATACCGGCACATAGCAGAACTTCAGCTGTGTCTCCAAACCTCTCCCCTGTGGGTTCTTTTTCATTACTACTGCTATTATTTTATTTATTTTAGAGGGTGAAGAGGGGCACTTTCATCAGGCCAAGATCTGCTTAGCTCATTCATTATTCTGTCTCTAACAAGAGCCAAAGGCAGGGATGAATGTCAGAATAAAGCCAGCAGAGAGCAATAAAACCTTCCATCAATCTGTGTCTTAGGGACTTCCTGAGACAGAATTTGTCCCTGTGTTTAGTGTCTCTTGACAGACTGTCTTCCATCAACTAGCCTAATTACTTTATAAATTCATTTATACCTTTGGAATCTGCAACATCCTGTGAAATGACATTTGTGTTAAAGAAAAAAGTACACCTGTTTTTATTCATGTTTTCTCAGTCTCTAATGAATTTACTATTTTCTGTCACTCCTCTTCCATATTTCCTTTTCCAAGACCAAGTGCTACTGTATTTAATCTTTTCTCCTATAGAAACTACTTGATACCTCAAACCTTTTTCACTGTCCTTCCTACATGATTCTAGCACTACCATGTTCTTTTTGAAGAGGAAAGAGCAGTACATCCAGATTTTTCACTTCTGCTTTAATACCCTGAGTTCAAGTATAGTGTTATTTTGGAAACTGATCAGCCTATAAGATTCCAGAACCTGAATAATAATTAAACCATAACTGCTAGACTACAATATAAATAGGTCTAGAAGAGATATATATATATACCTAAAGATGCTTGCAAAATTTATGCTTGCAAAATTTATGCACCAAAGTGTTTGGACTTCCTGCCTTCAGCTCCTTTCCTATAATCCCTGCAAAAGCAGGGATAATGGGTAGATGAAGAAACTACGTGTGGGTGGGTAACGGATCCCATAAAAATAGAAGCCAAACTGAGATTTCGTTGTATGAGTCCAAACAGAAGGAACAATAGAAAAAAAAATCTGAAGTGGAAGAAAGGAGAATAGTCATTGCACGAAACTATTTGTTTGGTATACTATCTGAAAAAAAAACTACTTGTACCTTCACTTGAAATGCCTAGATTATTCTACTGTACACTGCCTTAATCTGACCTTGGAGCAAAAGACACTACCGAAGGAAGGAAAAGAGAAAATGGACTGAAAAACTAGATTTATTACTCAAACCACATCTTGCTTTCCCTCAGTATCTGTCTCCAAAATCTTGCCAGATGGTGTAAGACACATACTGCAGTAACTCTTTGGAAATGCCTCTTGCTGTCTGTAGTAATCAGTTAACACGTTTTTCCCAATGGTGAATATACTGAACATATTTTTATAGTCAAATTTACACAGGCTTTCTTTTACCTTGATTTCCACTCTCTCGCTACTCTTGTCTCATAACTCTGGATTAGTGCTAGTTGACTTAATTGACTGTAAAGGATGGATTTTTTTTTTCTTCAATAGCATGACACCACAGTTGGGGCCCTCCAGATTGCTCTCAATATTTTCAATGGAAAACTGCCACCATATGCTGCATGCCAGTTTTTTGAACTCTACCAAGACAGAAATGGGCAAGTATCTTCTTATTGATGCAAGAAAGAGTGTTTAGAATTTGCTACCGTCGTCCCCAAAACCATTTTTCTGCAAATATTGTGAGAAAATACAATTTTGATTTAAATAGATAATTTACTAACAGCCCATAGGCACAAAGTCATATTAATACTAGGGAAAATTACATTTTCTGGATGTGAATGTATGCTTTGAAAGACAGGAAAAAAGGTAAAACAAGCCTTATGAGAGGGAAAAAAAGGGTAAAATAAATTTAGCAAGATAGCAAAAACATTTCCAAGACATAACTCCCACGGTAAGCCAGTTAGCATAGAAGAGCCCAGTGCTGGTGCCATTCAAGGAGCCTGCAGAAGGACCTTTTCAGCTGACTGTTGATCTGTGCAGTTAAATTAACAGCTTTGGCAAAGTGGGCTTTGCAGATGTCTTTCACAAAGCGTCCACTCTTGGAGAACAGGTTCTAGAGTAGGATGTTAGAGGCTATTTCCAACATGCTGTCTCAAAGTAGGAAACCTTCTATTTAAGAACCTTTCTTAAAAAAAACTTTTCAATGTTGTTAACCAGGCAATATAGCATCGAAATGTATTATCGGAACAACACTTCAAAGGATCCTTATCTCCTCACATTGCCAGGGTGCACCTCTTCTTGTCCACTTGAGAAGTTTGCTGAACTAGTTTCTCCCGTGATTACAGAAAACTGGTCAAAAGAATGTGGGAAGAAAGATAAAATGAAAGGTAGTGTAACAGTTTTGTATTTTCCACATAAGACAGGGAGGTAGATATTTCATCAGTGGCTCTGAACTTTGTACCTTTCACACATTCAATAGATTTCCCTTTAAGTGGGGGCCAGATTTACTGTGAATGAGGATGTCAGTAGAAATTAAATTAGCATATTCACAAAATGAGCTGCTCACAAAATGAGCCTGTGGTCAAAACTAGATCTCCACTTGTTGAAAATGTCTAAGGGAAGTGTGGATGTCAGTGCTATAAGAGGGTCTTGTTCATGTTGGATACATCAGACCTTCTACAAATGCAAAGCAAAAATGGCTTGCAAATGCATGGTAATATTTGTGCACCTGTATTTCTGCAGTTGTACTGAGTGCAGCTGATCCATGATCTACTAACAGAACTGATAACCTCTTCCTGCCTGAATATTATTTCTGGGAGGAAGGAGAAGAGCAAGGCAATACATGTTACTTTTCAATAGTCCCATTATTTCCCCTGTCCTGCATATATTCACCATTTTACTGATCCCTGATGAAAGTATTTTTCTTTTTTCATTAACTACACATAGGCTCTCCTGCCCTATGGGAACATGGGAGTAAGATTCACCTATGCACAGGAAGCGATCTATAAATTTCTAGGATTTAAGTCTATGTTCTTATGTTGCATATGCCAGTAAATGTGATCTTGCCAGAAATATTTCCATTGTACATATATGTAACTAGACTGTTAGCTTTGCATATAAAATGGTATACATACATGTCTTTCATTAACTCCCTTTTAATTTACTTTTTTTTTCACAGATATTTTTATTGGATTTAATGTTGCTGTTGGCTTGTTGTCCATTTTTAACCTTGTACTGCTCTACCTCCTTTATCATTATGGACGCTGCAGGAGCAGAAACAACTACCAAGACATTTAAAGTGGAGGTAAAGAAGTGAAAGTGAGAGCAGCTAGACATCAAGGAATACTTGAAGTTGCTGATACCCATGACTTTGCTCTGGTCAAAATAATCTCCAAAGCATATCCAATAAACTTGAACAGCTGAGGTATCTGTGGCCTAGCTCCTAAAATTCTACACATTTTTAGTGAGAAATACTGTAGAAATCCGTTATTTTAGGAATTACTGGATGGATGGTGTTATTCCAATTAATATTTTAGTCCACTACTACTATTACTCAATTTTACATTAACCAGTGGGGTGAAAGAATGCCTATGCTTTTTTTTATATTGCCTATTACCATTTAGCCCTCTGCTACTCAACAAGTCTTTCTTCAAATGTGCATTCTGTAATATTTACCATACTTCCTATAAATGGCTATGTTGTTGATGCACAGGAAAACAGTGAGCAGAAGTTGCAATTTCTGTACGAAAAAGACTCATACCAGCACTTGGACATACTGTTGCTGCATTTAGTAGTCCAAACTTATGCTTGAGATTTGACCTTAGCCTTCAGCTAATAAAAGTCTTCAGCTGGCTCTTTAAAGGAGTTACATCTCTATAGCTCTCACTGAAATTAGTAAAACTGGTATAATCTGTCACGTATCCAGGCATCAAGCAATAAGTTTAGTGCAACAGCATTTTGGTCAGTGTCTGTAACTTTAATAATATGGATAAGTAAATATATTAAAATCTATTTTCTGTTGCTACACTGTTTTCCTATTTTTCTGAGCTCCCAGTCATGAATGATCCTTTGCTCTGCATTTCTTTGAGCCACTCTTAGAATAACTCCTCAAGCTATCACTCTCTTCATTATCTTTTATTTTAAATCACAATAACTCCTTTAACTCATTGCTCTGTTCACAAACCTATATGTTAGCAAGATGTACACTAAAAGTAAGAAAACAATGATTCTGCTTTTTTATGTTGATCTCTTCTGTGCAATTTATTTTGTTTAGATTGTAAGCTTCTAATGTCAGGGAATGTGTTTCTGTAACTGCTCTTGAGTGTCACAAACTATATGCATAATAAGCACTAATATTGCTGTATAAAATCCTACTTATTTTCATATGTTTCAAGACTGAATCAAGACTTTTTCATCCTGTGGTCCTGCAGAGGATACTGTGAATGACAATACCTTAGAGAAGTCTCTTTAAAAACCAAGACAACCATACAAACAGGTGCCAACAGCAGGGTCAGCCCAACAGGTATAATGTGCTGAAGCTAATGTGTCCTGCTGAGATTCAGAAAGAAAGAAAGCTGAGGGATGGAGCTGCTTAGCTCAGACATAGCATCACAGCAATGTGAATACATTGCTTCTGGACTGTCTGTCACTCACATTCTGTGGGTTGCAACGTGGAGTCCAGGAGCCTCAGTAAGCTACCACTGAGATAGTGATCTAGAGATCAGCCCTCAGTATTACAGTGAAATGTGATATAATTATATATAGTGATATTAAATATATTAAATAGCATAAGTCAGAGTAACAAATGCTTGTGGGAACACAGCACTTCCCAAACATTGCATTTTTTGTAATAACTTCAGTTGCTGAAGTGTCCACCTTTTGAAAATTATTTCTCACTCAGTAAAAGGCTTTTAGTAGTATCCATGACATTTCCATTTTATCTGTTTTAGGAAATATCATAATCAACTGGTGGATTTGAGTCTTACATGTTCAGGATTTTTATTGTATAACAGGTTGATGCAAAGCTGTCAAAAAAGATGAAAGGCTGTCCCCAAATCAGATGGTTCAGATGTACAAGCTTCAGCTTGTAATTAGTCATTTTGATCCTCATTTAAAGACTTGAAGGAATATCTATATTGCAGTCAAATGTATTAAAACAGCTCTAGGAAAAAGCCTGAGTTGGTGTGGTTTCTATTAGAAGTCTACTCAAGGTGGGGAAAAGTTCAGAACAAACTTCAAAACTCATCCTGGCTCCTGTATGTGCATACATAGATACATATAAATATATACTCAGTCAGTGGTTACCTGATACTGAGCTCAGCATTAACACAGCCATAATGCTGCTGGTACCCACTTAAGGATAAATTATGTTTCTCATTAGAGGAAGTCAGATGCTTGACAAATGAAGATGTATCAACTTGATAATGTGCAGTAAGAAACAGTTTTGAAGTATTACAAAATCGGTCAATTGCACTCCTCAAGAAGCAGAATGGGACATATTTTTCCAAGATTGCTTCTTACAAAAAGAAATTGATTTCAGACAGAAATTAAAATGTGAAGTGTCTGAGACATCTTGTATGGTTTATGCTGCCCAAGCCTAAGCTGTAACAAAGAATTTCAAAAGATAAGGCAATTCTTATTGCAGCAGGAGCTGTCAGGAAGGAGTTTTATTGTAGGGACACCTTTCTGTTAAAAGATAGTCATACTTGAAAATGCATATGCACTTTTAGAAAGGATCCAGTGAACACAAGTTACAGAGAATGTAATGACAGGTTCAGATGATGTAACTTCAGAATTAATGAGGGTACATTAAAAATGTAATAACTTAGTAAAGTAGGCCCTGAATCTCACTTATAGGAAAGATGTTTTGTCTTGCTGTGTTTAAATAAAGTAAAATTTCTCCAGTGGAGCAAAAGTAGACAATTTCATGTACATGTAGAAAAATACATAGCTTTTTTATTTTTTCAGCCATGTTTAGAATTTGCTGAGTATAATCTGCAGACTGTGATTAGAAAATATCTTGTCTCCAAGAAACTTCTGGCACTGCAATAAAGTACTTTAAAGAAACAATTCAACTTTTGCCATTTTATCTTATTGAAAAACAATGGAACTTTCAGTACCTCTAGAATTTCCAAACAAAAGTAGATGTTCAGATTTGTTGCTTCTGTAAGAACAGATTTTAAAGCACTTCTGCTTTGATATAAATAAAGCTGATGGCATGAAGCTCTTCAATTTGCCCTCTAGCAGTGACATCATCTGACTCTACAATAATCACAGTAGCAAATAGGTGCTCTGCAGCAGGGTTTTCTGGTGCCTATGGTAGACAGTAATGCACACACAGCACTTTTCACCTCAGTCAGCAACAACCTCCTCTCACTGAATTGATTTTATTTGGGAACTTCTTTTTTCACAGGCCTGAATATTGAACACAGTGGGTCAGCACAGAATAGGCATCTGATTTCCAGAGTAATATTGGCTCAGCCAGGATCACTCATGTTCATTTGTACCAGTAATGTAGACATTGGATCCAAATGACATAATTTCCTCTCACTGTAATGTATTTTCTTAGCTGTGATAAGAAATCACAATGACAAATGTAGTCTATTTGAATTGAAAAAAAAAAATCTGTTCAGTCCAAAAGCTCTGGAGTCTGGATTAAACTCCAAAAGAAAAGAATTATGTTTCTAAATTATTCTCCACCAGAAAAAAAAAAAAAAAAAAAAAGGTAAAACTTCTATTCTATAAAGAATATTAATGATTTACTCTGCTGGAATTTAAGAGTGATGATGAGAGTAGAAACATGCTTATTGTTAGGCACATAACCTCGGCCCATACAAATCCGTGCTGACACCACCAGGCAGTGTCAGCAATAGTGCACAGGATTGTATTCTTGGCATGGAAGAGTTAAAACTACTGTATTCCTTATTGCATTTCTTATAAAGATGGGGATGAAAGATGGCCATTTACCTATAAACAGCTAATTTTATTGATTTAGACACTAATGCTTCTTCATCAGAAATTGCCAAGTATTAATACTCAAATAGATAAACATGAGTTGCTATTGAAGTAATAGCATATCACTTGAACAATTACATTACATGGTCTCTTCTGTGACTAGCCAACTTCACCTTCAAAGGGATTAGAGCACTAGAAAGACCTGCAAGATCACGTGTAGGACATCAGGTACAGTTGGAAAGACAGTTTAAAACACTAAGTCCTGTTTTGCTAATTTCTGTTAACATCTCTTGTAGAATGACACTACCTTTTCTCCTGAGACTCAGTGCATTATCAATTTTTTCCATCCTGCAGACTAAGGTTCCAGTGGTCTTTAAAAAAATCTGTAGAGAGCAGAATAATGGCATTTATCAGTTCAAAGTAGATAGAGGCAAATGAAATTGTCCTGGCTTCACCTCTGCATATATTTAGCTGCAGTCATGTGCATGTCCAAAAAAAGGTAATTTCTTTGTGCTCTGTTTACAGCAGCTAAAACTCTTGCTCTCTTCCTACAGTGAGCCCTTGACTTCAGAGGACAAAGCAATTCTCCTAGCTCATCTACCCTATAAGCTAAAACTATGGAAAGAAAAGTTGTAAAAAGCAGTCTGATCATAAAGTCTTTTCTTTAGGAAGATGAGAATAAATGTGGACTGTAATTTAAGGTCCAAATAGGTAAGCTCTCCATTCTCTAATATACAAGTGTTGACAGCATTTGGATCAATAATTACAGGCGGACTAGCAAAATCCCATAATATCCACAATTATTGAGCTGTCTGACGACAGTGCCAGTACTTCTTGGAAGTGGAGCTCCTTCTTTCTTTCCATTCTAGAGCATTCTCGCAGTTTCTCCTGGCTGCTCTTCAGGAAGCAGGAAGAGCTGAAGCAGATCTGAAGCCTACACCTTGTTCAGAATTTTTGAAACACACATATTTAAGATTAAAATAGATGTGATTAGTGAATTACTGTTGTACTTGTTGCACAACAGTTTTTTCACTTGTTTTATTAGAATCTATATGAAGAAATACTTTTACAGGGCAGGTAGATTCCTCCACAGCAGTCAAATGAACAATTCAGACATAGCATGTTAAACTTGTATTTAGATGAGATCATTTGCTACTGATACAAGTAGCTGTACATGAGAATCTTCTGTATCCTCTGTAATATGGTGGTGGAAGATAGCTTTATCAATCTATTATCCACAACAAGCAGACTCCTCTTTTCTCGGTAAAAGAAGATGTGGATGAAAAAGCACAATAATCTGGAGTACTCTTCAAATAAACACATAGAAGGCTCCCTTTGCTAAA